TTAAGAAATATTTGTTATTTCTATATAAAATATTTAAATTTATATATAATATAAATTATATATAATTATATACAGTATATACATGCAAATATTTCTTAAATATATACATGCATATGTGTGTATTTATATATACAAAATAATTATACACAGTACACACACATATATCATGTAGACACAAACTTTTATTTTGGATGCGATTAATCTTTTCCCAGCCCTAATAATTTGACAACTCTGTGAATATGAAAATATACAAACACTGAGATTGTGTTTTTTTTTTTTTTCTAATTGCAGTTTCACCAACAGATGTCGCCCTTGGGCCTTGGCCTATGAACCTCTTGAAAATTATCCGCATAGAACAACAACGAAAAAACGTATCTAAGCGGTCTTCCTTTTCTTCTCAAACAAACTAACTGCATCTTAAACAGCCCAAGTTTCAAAATTCGAGAAACCCCCGGACCCCCGTTAAAATAAAAGATTCAACATGCAGGGCTAAAAAAGGGAGGATCATTTGCCGGATCATTTGCACTACTAGCGACGCACCCCTGGACATGCATACACGACGCAAGGGCGCCCGCGCTACAAAACTAACATTTTTATTTAAAACATTGTCTTACCTGCAAGTGACGCGCGAGTATCATCCCGCTGTCTCTTCTTTTTCCTTTTTTCCGCCCCCGACTCTTGGTGCCTTTTCGAGGCCATGTCTGAGGTCGGTGTCTGCCAAATTTGACATTGATTGAGGCATAATCGAACAGACCACTGGGAGGTGGGGAAGGGGGGGCACCAGAGGGAGACTGGCACAGGAGATTCACCTTTTTCTCGACCAATTTGGTCTAGGCCTACATTACTTTTGTATTGCTTTTGTATATTAACATGCTTTAGACATATTTTATTTGTTATTTATACTAGTAGCCTATTGTGATGATTTTTCACAACCCAGATTTTTTGGTGCCCCCCCAAGCACTTGGTGCCCTACGCGCAGTGCGTGATGTGCGTGTGCGGAGCGCCGGCCCTGCCCGAGCCAGATCCATAAAATGTCAGCTATGCTGAAACGGGCCGCCGAAGCTGTTGGGCTCGAGTGAAATCCTCCACCGTGTCCCGAACAGTCTCGGTTGGATGATTGGTATCTCGGAGCGGGCTGCGCTGGTTCTCAGCTCGCCGCCCCAGTGCCTTTCTTTCCCAGAGTGCATGTAGAGCTTACCAGGTCATGGACGCCACCTTTCTCTGCCAGAAACTGCATGAGTAGCTCCTCCCCCTCACTATCCTTGAAGGAGAGGCGGTGGTGGGTTACAAGACTATCCCTCCAGTGGAGCGGTCTGTCGCGACACAGGTGCATCTCCACCCAGCCTCCACCCAGGGCTTAGCGTGGAGCCAGCCGCAGGCAGGCCGCCCAGCCTGTGTCAGACACTGCCAATCCAGGTGGCAAGCGTAAGGCCAAGTATATTTAATATTCCTAATATTTAAATGCAAAATTTTTATTCCTTTAGCATCATTCATTCAGAAAGCAAATACTGGTAGTGTTACTACTGTCACTGCTCAAACATATGTTTAAAAGTAGTTGGATCCAAAAAGGTAATACACAATTGTAGAGATTGCAAGATTCATTTGATACAATAAAACAAAAACACACATCACATAAACCCACATACACAAATAAACACAAAAAAACAACACCCTTCAAGAAAGACCCAGCAACCCCAGACACCATGTTCCGGAGTATTTCTGTGTGTAAACAAAACTATGCGGGTAAATAACATCTATTAAGCTCAAGGCTCAGTCTGCATTAGAGTGAAAATAATGAAGAGTGTAGCTCAAAGAGAGAAGAAAAAGTAAAAAAACAAAACAAAAAAAACAAAGGTACTTCACAGGCAGCATTTAAAGTAAGTCAGTAGGGGGGCAGTAGTAATCATAAGCTAGGAGGCTCTGCCACACACACAGAGAAAAAAAAAAGAAAAAAAAGGAAAAGCGTGACGCAGTCAGCTTGTGACAGCAGGATGTAAACAAACAACAACGAAGAGCGATCACCTGTTGCATCTAACTATAACACAAGAAGAGTGTCAACAACACCTCAAGAAACTTTACAGCCACGTTATCACATATTATAAAGAAAAAGCTCATTTGCTGTTCTGCAGTAACTAACGTTAGCTCATTGGCCTCACCTCATCGGGTAACTTATTACATTGAAGTTGAAGTTGACATGAAGACAGCTTCAGCGTCTTTGTGGCAGCTGAAACGCTGCTGTTTGCCATCAACAATAACACACAGCGTACAAGGATACAGAAGAAAGTACTTCATATTGAGTTCACAGAGCTTACGTTTGACAGGATCAAAGTTCCGGCGTCTCCTCGTCAGATCGGCACTGAAGTCTGGATAAATGAAGATGCGACTCTCGCTGTATTCCAGCTTCTCTTTCTCCCTAGCAAGGCGAAGGATTTTTACCTTATCCTGGAAGTTAAGCAGTGTGATCATGATGGACCTGGGACTGGCTCTGTCACTCTGTCGGACAGACGGAGAGCAGTGGGCCCTCTCAATGATTGGTGTAGTGGGAAAGTTGCTTCGTCCCAGGAGTTGTGTAATCAGCCGAGACATGAAACCGACGATATCACCACCTTCAGCGGACTCATGCACTCCAACGAAACGGAGGTTACAGCGTCGGCTCCGATTCTCCAAGTCATCAACCTTGTCCAGCAGGTAAGAATTGCTTTTCTCGAGTTGCTGAACCCGAGCCACAAACTCCTGTACATTGTCCTCATTAGCTCCTACACAAGCTGCTCTAGTAAATTAACTTGTTCTCCCAAAGTTGTTAAAGAATTCTGAATGCTGCTCAGACTACTTTGTATGGGATCCACTTTTGCATCAAATCGTGTCAGCATGTCAGTCTTGATCTGTTGAATGGCTTCCCACAAGGTTTGTAATGAAATGTGCTGCTCCTCCATTGTGGCAAAGACGCATACGTCTCAAAATAAATCTCTTGACTGTGTAGAGCAACTTAGTTAAATGCTTGACTTATTTAGATGCAAATCAGGTCACAATCATGTGGATCAGCATAAAGGATCACTTAAGAAGCTACTATACCATGGACAAACAGACTTGAGCTTGAGCTACGTTCACTCACTCGGCAGCCATCTTGACCTGGACTTCTGCAAGAACACCCTCTAACGAGGCATGCTTACGCACTGGAGTGGAACCTGTTCATGAGTTGAGTCTTCTCTCCGAGAGGAGACCCCGAAGGTGTTCGATCTCTTCTGTGCATCCTTTCCTGCAAGATTGGCTGGAGTGAGGGCTGTCTCCCTCCACCCTCAAAATGTGTTGCCTCTATGAATTGACACACACATGATGCAGTGGACACAGCTCCATGGGGAAGCACGATTGATCGTCAGGTTCCTGAGGGGAGCAAGGAGACTGGTGCTACTGCACTTCAGAGACCTCCCTTGAGCCTCTGCAGGCAGTGAGTTAAAAAATCCTGTTTTTAACGAAACAGTTCTCCTGCTTGCTGGGTCTCTATCTAGAGGGTAGGGGACCTTCACGCATATTCAGTTGACGAGGGGAGCAAGGAGACTGGTGCTACTGCACTTCAGAGACCTCCCTTGAGCCTCTGCAGGCAGTGAGTTAAAAAATCCTGTTTTTAACGAAACAGTTCTCCTGCTTGCTGGGTCTCTATCTAGAGGGTAGGGGACCTGCACGCATATTCGGTTGACGAGGGGAGCAAAGCGACTGTTGCTACTGCACTTCAGAGACCTCCCTTGAGCCTCTGCAGGCAGTGAGTTAAAAAATCCTGTTTTTAACGAAACAGTTCTCCTGCTTGCTGGGTCTCTATCTAGAGGGTAGGGGACCTGCACGCATATTCGGTTGACGAGGGGAGCAAAGCGACTGTTGCTACTGCACTTCAGAGACCTCCCTTGAGCCTCTGCAGGCAGTGAGTTAAAAAATCCTGTTTTTAACGAAACAGTTCTCCTGCTTGCTGGGTCTCTATCTAGAGGGTAGGGGACCTGCACGCATATTCGGTTGACGAATCGTCTCACACTCTCACGCTATCCTGAGACCCCTGCCTGGATATGTGCCCAAGGTTCCTACCTCTCCCTTAAACAGGACCAGGTGGTGAGCCTGAAAGCGCTGGCCCGGAGGAGGCAGACCCAGCCCTGCATGGCTTTTCTCTGTCCCGTCCGCTCCTTGCAGTTATATGTGGACAGAACTCAAAGCCTTAGTACCTCCGACCAGCTCTTGTCTGTTACGGAGACCAGCAGAAAGGGAAGGCTGTTTCCAAGCAGAGGTTGGCCCACTGCACAGTGGTTGCCATCATCTTGGTGTGTTATCCCAAGGTGCACGTGCCCCCCTGGGTAGTGAGCTCCTCCAAAGAGAGAGTATAGCTCCTGCCTAGGTGTTGACACAGAGTGCCTCGCTGACAGATGCTTTAGAGCGTATTTTATTCTTTGATCTGAAGTCTGTGTGGTGCCCTGGTGGCCTGTATACAGAAGCCTGTACAAATGTCTAAAAAAATAATTTACACTAATGTTACATTTACACTAATGTATCATTTACACTATAATGCTTCCTGACCTGGACCCCAGTTAGTGAAGTATTAACACCAAGACTATGTACCAGATTTCTAGAAAAAAGTGATGCACCACCCCAGGATGGAGACCTTCTATTTTTAAAGGGTCAAGTCTGCCCCAAAATCTTGTCCAATTACCTACAAAACCTATATTATTCTGTGGACATCACTTAGACATCCAGACATTTAGTGTATGTTGTGTTTAATAGTTATTAAATTGACACTGTATCTTTACTTTGGGCATTCTGAAAAAACACAATAATAACAATAATACAATAACATGTGCAATGTATACCACATAGCTTTGTTTTGAGAGAACACAATTAATTGGATGCAAATTCTCTAATTATTTAAGAAACCCAGTTGTAAATCTTCTGTACTTTTTCCTGTCTCTCTCTCTTTTATTCTCTTTGTTTTCCTACCTTTCCCATTAACTACTCCATCAATGTAGGGTGTAAATAAGCCATTCACAGAGGTCATTAAAGCCAACATCGGTGACTGCCACGCTATGGGCCAGAAACCCATCACCTTCTTCAGACAGGTGGGTTTACGAGATATTGTGCTTGTCATACTGTATTCTGAGCAGTAGTTTTTGTACATACTGTACGTATGCTCCATTTATTTGTCAGGTCTTGGCAATGTGCTCTTATCCAGATCTTCTTGAAGACAGCAAATTTCCAGAAGATGCCAAAAGTAGAGCACGCCGCATTCTCCAAGCTTGTGGTGGAGGAAGTCTCGGTACTGGAAAAACCTTTTTAATTAGATATTACATACTTTAAATAAACATGAAACCAAATTTAACAAACTATTTACCTATTGTCAAAACATAGTATCTTGCTAAGCCTCTGATTTTCCTTTTTGACTGACATTACATGGACGGGTTATTGCTAAATGTTCTTCCTTTTATTCCTCTTCGCCATAGTGCTTACACATAATGATATTTTATAAAGTTCAAGAGCAGTACGTTCAGATAATCTACCCAATCAGCACGAGAGGATGCATGTTTATATAGCCGACTTATTTCTGTTCCACAACAGTTTTCCAGCATCCCTCCTCCACCCAAACTCTTAATTATTCCTATCCCAGCCAGGGATGGTGTGATGGTAGGCGGGGTGCTCTGGGATCAAACCAAATTCCGAGCTCGGAGCTCTCCCCTCAGACAGCACTCCATAGGAATCCATTGCTTATATTTAAACTGTTTCTGGTACAGGACATTTGTGCTGAATATTTGTGTTTGGTGTGAAGGGTCTACAGAGTACTTTAGCAATAATCAAAAAAGTGAAAACAAAAGTAAAAAGAGGGAGAGAGATGTGCATGTGTGAATTACCAGTGTCTGTGCAGTGTCTCTACTAACCATGACGCTGTGAGTTTAATAACTTTTTTTTAAAAAGCAATGTGACACGCAAGCATTCGAATGTTTACTTCAGTATATGCGCATTGTAAATCTGTTGTTATTCATATTAAGTCATCATGTCTCGTCAGAAGGCTTGGAGTTGGATTAGACCACTCTATTGATAATTTTACAATGCCTTTATGACATTTTTTGGATCTTTTAAATTTGTGAGGAATGGACTTTAAATGGAGGGACAGCAATCTCTTAGGTTTCATAAAAAATTTCTTCATGTTTGGAAGTTGAACGAAAATCTTATAGGTTTGAAACAATATGAGGGTTTTTGCATTTTTTTTATGCATTTTTGGGTGAATTATACTTTACATACAATAAGCTGAGCTTCAGATAAAACTAAATTGATATATTGCGAATCACATCGTTTATATCAACGATACATGTCGTCACATTTTTTTTATGACGATATCTCGATATAACGATGTATCATTACACCCCTATAAGTGCTTTTGTTCAGTCAAGTGCTTGAGGAAGAGGTGTGTCTTCAGTAGTGTTCATCTCAGTGTCTGAGACCATCATGACACCAGCATTGTTTACCAAGCATTTGATCAATAATGACTGGTAAGGAACAAATAAATGCCATAAATGAGAAAGAAACCTTTGGAGAAGCCATGCTCCTCTGGCTAGTGAGAACAGGATAGTAGATCAAGGACAGAAAACAAGGACAGTTCACAAAGGTTAGTATACAGAATATAATATATAGTATACATACAGTATGTTATTAACTTGGAATAGTATTGGTAGGAATCATGTACAACAGACAGATATTAATCAAACTGATTGAATACGTCCTTCAAAGGTCCATCCTTCATTGTCTGCTAAGGTGCATGTAGATGGAGTGTAACTTCAGAACAGAAACTTCTGGCCTGATTCATATAATAATAAAGATTTATGTTATTTGATGCATGTTTTCAGTTCCATTCGACCTAACTGTTTAGGTGATGAATTAGGTGCATGCTTGGTTAAAGAGATGACTCTTCAGTCTAGACTTAAACAAAGTGTGTATGATTCATAAACAATGCTGGGAAGTCCAACATTTTAGTCTGTTAACTTTAATATCATGTTTACATGTGTGTGCATGATGTGTGAACCTCTTATTCAAATAAAATGGATGACAAAATACAGATTTTGGTATAATTAAATAATAGATAAACTAGATTACGTTTTCCATCATTTACATTTACATTTATTCATTTAGCAGACGCTTTTATCCAAAGCGACTTACAAATGAGAACAATAGAAGCAGTTAAACTAACAGAAGGACAACAATACGTAAGTGCTATAACCCCTCTCAGTTTAATTTTAGTGCAGTTTTTTTTTTTTTTTTTTTTAAGAATAGAAGAGAAGAGAAAGTGTTAATTCTACTGAATCAAGTGCTGCCGAAAAAGATATGTCTTCAGCAGTTTCTTGAAAGTCATACTCATCTTCTTCTAAAAGCAGCAATATTTTAAATGCACCCACATAAATGCAATATTTGCATTTGCTTATATTTTGACTAAATAAATAATAATTTTACAATAATTTGATGGTGCCTAAAGGAAAGGAAGTTTTTTTTTGTTGCAGTGCAAGTATCTAGGCAGTCTATCTATACTGAGGAATTTGAACATCAGTTACTGTAACTGTGAACTACTCCAAAGTACTGAAAAGAAGAAGAGCACCTTTCTAGAGATTAACATGCTTTAAATAAAGATTTTGAGACATTGCAAATTATTGCATTGCATTTGAAACTGTCACTGTTCCATGGCACTACCACAATACTCTGGTATGGTTGAAACACATGAATACTTAAATAGAATGGTAACACTTTACAATAATGTGGCATTTGTTAACATTACACTTGTAAACATAAACTAACAATGAAAAATACTTCTAAAGTATATATGAATGTTAGTTCATGTTAATTTCAACATTTACTGATACATAATTAAAATCAAAAGTTGTTCATATTTTCTAATGGACCTGAGCTAACATGAACTAACAATGAACAGCTGCATTTATTTAACTAACTTTAACAAAGATCAATAAATACTGTAACACATTTTTTTGCTAATGTTAGATAAACATAGTAACTAAAGTTAACTATTACCAAGATACTTTTAATAGGCACTGTGTTTGATGCAATTGATCAAGTGTTTGTAATTTGGCTTTTTGGATCTTTCAGGGGCTTACAGTACTAGTCAGGGAATTGAAATGATTCGGCAGGACGTCGCTCGCTATATTGAACGGCGAGATGAAGGAATCGCATGTGACCCTGACAACATTTACCTATCAACAGGAGCCAGTGATGCGATCGTGGTAAGCAGATTCTACAAACAGACAACAGGAAAAGACAAAACAAAGCTAAATGTAACATTCATAAAAAATAAAAATAAAAAAAATAGACACAGATAACATATCTTGTTTAAATATCTCCATGGCAATATACATAGTTATATGCAAATTAGGCCATGGATATTAAAAAAGGCATTGTCAGCTCCGTATGTATGGTTATTTCGTAGTGTAACCAGACAGTGTGGCTAATGTGTAGGCTATACGCATGTTCAGGAACACTGATTTATAAAGGGAATTTGCATAAATTCTGGTGTACAAATAACTTTATGAAAACTTTTTTGTTTGGGCATAACCTACCTTTATGCTGAAATCTACGTAAAGTTTTATTCATATTTATTCACTTTTCATATCATTCATATTTTTGATTGTCATTGCATTAGAGAATTCAATATCAGAATTGGTTTTAAATATCTGTGTTTGTCTGTGTCAGACCATGCTAAAGTTACTAGTGTCAGGGGAAGGAATGTCTCGTACGGGAGTGATGATATCAATCCCTCAGTACCCACTGTACTCCGCTGCTCTGGCTGAGTTGGGTGCTGTGCAAATCAGTTACTATTTGGATGAAGACAACTGCTGGAGTTTGGACATCAATGAATTACGGCGCGCCCTGCAGGAAGCAAAAAAGCACTGCAGCCCTCGAGCACTGTGCATTATCAATCCTGGCAACCCCACAGGTGTGACGACAAATCTATCAGCTTTTATTGTGGTGGCCAGTTTGGGTTTAAAATATAAGTTACTTGATATATATTTTACCTCATCTTATAGGATCATTAAAAACAAATATCCCATCCGGACATCACTTTTGGCCACTACTGTATATTCCTTTATTACTGTGGGTGCTTCTCATTCCCTTCAAATTGTCCATCCTCTTTCCTCACTTCTTCATCTTCAAGTCCACGACCCGGAAACAGATCACCACCATGATGAAGGATGTATCAGTTGTCTAAATGCACCATGCAAAGATGAGAAGTGAGGAAATAGTCTCTTTTTGTCAAAACACAAATGCCTGAAATCGGAGGCAAATTCAGAAAAAAATCTAAATAACAAATACACCTTTCACTGATTCCTTGTTTCTTTTCCTTGCATCCCTCCCTCGCATTTTTGGAGCAAGGAAAGGAAATGATGCACGATTTAAGAAATGAGAAGCACCCTGGCTGAGTATGTAAATAAGAAGAATTGCTTAAAAATTGTTGTTGCAGTGGTGAAGGCTATGAACAACCATTGGGCTGGAAAACAAAAAAATAATCTGGCAACGCTGCTTACCTTTACTCGACAGGTCAAGTGCAAAGTCGGCAGTGCATTGAAGATGTGATCCGATTTGCTGCGACAGAAAACCTTTTCCTCATGTCTGACGAGGTGATTTGTATGATAGGCCTATACATATGGTTTTTAAATATATAAAAAACACAATGATAATGTTTTCAACATGCCCTGCTTTATCCAGGTCTATCAGGACAATGTTTATGCAGACGGGTGTAAGTTTCACTCCTTTAAGAAGGTACTGTTTGAAATGGGTCCAGAATACTCTGAGAAAGTGGAACTAGCTTCGTTTCACTCAACGTCAAAGTGCTACATGGGAGAGTGAGTGTCCAAAACAAGAGAAGTGCAAATGATCTGCAGGTTTTTTGGAAGAAGTATTCCGTTGATAATATTGTAGAATTTAATGAATCTGACTCCTCCTAATAACTATTTGTTCTTAAAGGTTTAGCTCACCTAAAAATAAAAATGCTGTCATTATTTACTCACCCTCATGTCGTTCCAAATCTATAAGTCTTTCATTTTTCTTTGATACACAAATGAAGATATTTTGAAACCTGAGATTTCTGTCTTTCCATTGAAAGCTAAAGCCATCACACCAAAAGGTGACACTTCAAAAGGTTCAAGATGTCTGAAGAGACTTGATCGCTTAATATGTTGAACAGATTAATTTAGACTTTTAATCACATTTAACTCTTTCCCCACCAGAATAAAAAAAAAAGTATATTGTGTATGTTGTATATTGTCTATTTGGTTTGACCAAATAGTAGTGCCCTAAAATAGGTCAGGTAAATAGTTAAGCTCTCCAAGACTGGTTCCCCACTGAAGCTAAGCAGGGCTGAGCCTGGTTAGTACCTGGATGGGAGACCTTCTGAGAAAACCAGGTTGCTGCTGGAAGAGGTGTTAGTGTGGCCAGCAGGGGGTGCTCACCCTGTGGTCTGTGTGGGTCCTAACGCCCCAGTATGGTAATGGGGACACTATACTGTCAAAGAGCACTGTCCTTCGGATGAGACGTTAAACCGAGGCCCTGACTCTCTGTGGTCACAAAAAAATCCCAGGATGTCTTTCGAAAGAGTAGGGGTGTAACCCCGGCATCCAGGCCAAATTTGCCCAGTGGCTTCTATCCATCATGGCCTCCTAATAATCCCCATATATATATACCAATTGGCTTCATCACTCTGTCTCCTCTCCACCAGTAAGCTGGTGTGTGGTGGGCGTTCTGGCGCAATATGGCTGCCGTCGCATCATCCAGGTGGATGCTGCACACTGGTGGTGGTTGAGGAGATCCCCCCTTCTGTGTAAAGCGCTTTGAGTGCCGAGAAAAGCGCTATATAAATGTAATGAATTATTATTATTATTATTATTAATAAACCTGTCTGTCTTTCTTCTTGAAGGTGTGGTTTTCGTGGTGGTTATATGGAGGTGGTAAATCTAGACCCGGAGGTGAAAGTTCAACTCACTAAGCTGGTGTCTGTGCGGCTGTGTCCTCCGGTGCCTGGTCAGGCTCTTCTAGATGTGGTGGTCAATCCACCTCAACCAGATGAACCCTCATATGACACATTCATCAAGGTATATAATGTCCCGTTCATTGTTTCCTTGTTGAGCTGTACCAGTTAAGAAGAAAGTAATCAAACATTTTCTCCATTGTCTTCAGGAACGCACAGAAACTTTGGCCACACTAGCAGAGAAAGCCAACATGACGCAAGAGATCTTGAATCAAGTCCCAGGAATAAAGTGTAACCCAGTGCAGGGTGCAATGTACACTTTCCCACGGATCCACCTCCCACCAAAAGCCATCCTGGAGGCCAAGGTAGAATCGGCCTGTACTCAGTTAAATCTAATATCTGTTCTTTTTATGGGCATCTCTAAAGGTGTGGTTACATTTACCGCTGTTCTGCAAATTTTCATGGAAAAAATCCAAATATTTCAAAAGATTTCCCCATGAAGATTTTTCATTAAGTCTGTTGGCAATGTGAATTTGCCATGTTGACTAACAAACAGCTGCCTGGTTTGAAAATGATTGTGTGAGCTGTGCTTCATACATCGCTACACCATTGACAATGGGCCTTTTTTGCTAAAGTGCTAATGTGACTGCACCGTAACTAACCTTTGTAGTGACTTGTTTGGGATTCATGGTGCGTATTCCACTTTTAAGTTACCATGACTCACTTTAAGTTACCATGGCTCATTAACTCAACACTATCCCTAAAGGCCAATTCACACCGCACCGACAGATGGCAAAGAAACTTCGTCGGGTATTGATTCCAAGCACAACTACGCAATATGCTTACAAAATCTTTAGCAAATTTTTAATCATATTTGAATAATTTCCTAGGCCGGACATCACTTTTGGCCACTAATGTACATGGTTAGGATTGTGTGGATGTTTATTATTTATAAATACCAATGTGTGTGTGAGAAATGGCCTACGCACCTTTTGCTGCCTGTAGCACTGCACAAATCCATTTTTAGGCTTTATCAGTATGATACATGCAAAGGATTCTACTCAAGAAGAACATTATTCTCATGTCAGTATAATGTTAGAATCAGGTTCTGAAAGTGAGAAATATATTGATATATATTGAGAATTTGAGAAGATGGTTTGCATTAAGACCTACACATGACCTTCACAATGATAGACAGATAGATGACAATAAGTTAAAGTAAACGTTTTTTAAAACATTACTTTTTTTTTTACTTTTTTTTTACCTGGTTGAATTAAACTTTATTATAAAACGCTAACTGAAATCCTTCATCCCCTCAAATTTAGGAGAAGGGACAATCTCCAGATATGTTCTACTGTATGAAGCTTTTGGAAGAAACAGGCATCTGTTTGGTTCCTGGCAGCGGCTTTGGACAGCGAGATGACACCTACCATTTCAGGTTACTCTCCCTTTAAACAATCCATATGAATAAAATCAACCATTGATATGTTTGTGTTTGGTTATATTTAACAACGAATTAACATCGGAAATAAAAGGCCATACAAAGTTACAATGCCCAGCAACACAAGAGGAAAGGAACAACAATATATACCGTATTTTCCGCACTATAAGGCGCACCGGATTATAAGGCGCACCTTCAATGAATGACCTATTTTAGAACATTTTTCATATATAGGGCGCACCGGATTATAAGGCGCATAAGATACTGCAGTCAAACGTTTGACTGGGTTTGCGTTATGCATCCACTAGATGTGCTAAAGGGAATGTCAACAAAACAGTCAGATAAAGTCTAACTTTATTAAGCGTTCTGACAACTCCGTTCACTCCCATGGTAACGTTGTTCAAACGTTAAAGGAGAACTCAGGTCAATTTTAACAATGAGCTCATTTTTTGTAAATTTGGAGTGCTGTCAGTACAGATAACAACGACAAAAACCGGTGTTGCCTACACCGTGTTATCCTCTTTTTAAAATTTGCACCCTGTTGACTTAAACGGGACAAGTTTTAAACCTGCTTTTAGCCTCTTAACAACCTTAATATGTCATTACAAGTGCACAGCCATGTGAGTAAACACGGTGAATCTGACTGCAGTAAATGTGAAAGATATGAACAAAAATGATGTTTATTCAGCCAGCTCACATACCCGTATTTTCTTCCTGTTTTCGGTCGAAGTCCACAGTAGGCGATTGTTGAGTGCGCGCGCGATCATTGGTAACTAAGCAACAGTGGAGACTCAGACTGTCAGCCGATGACGGTGCTGTGTGGTGTTCTGAGAATATCAGCTCAAATGAATAGTTCATCCGAATCAGATGTTGAACACACGGAGGAGGTTTGATCGCGCTCGCGCGAACTCAACAATCAACTACTGTGGACTTCGGCCGAAAACAGGAAGTAAATACGGGTATGTGAGCTGGCTGAATAAAGAGATTATTCCTGCCTTCGTGAAAGCTCGGATCACAGTTGAGACTGATATATCAGCCCAGGCATCCACGATCCATTGGCAGATAGTGGCGTAAATCGCCCGGCGCTGTCTCCCCGTCTTGGTGAATGTGTGTTCACCATCCATATATAAGGCGCTGCGGATTATAAGGCGCACTGTCGTTTTTTGAGAAAATTAAAGGCTTTTAAGTGCGCCTTATAGTGCGGAAAATACGGTAGGTGTAACGATCCACACACGGGGAAACAAGGGTAAGTTCCAAAAGCAGTAGTTTTATTAGGGATAATCCAAAATCATAAACCAGTCCAAAGCAAGGGTCAAAATCCAAAAGGCAATCAAACATGAACAGGAACAAAACAAGAAGCAAGGAAACTGGATGACAGAAGTAGCATGATACATACAAGGACTCCGTGACACATACTGAAACAGACAGGGTTATATACACAGGGAATCGACCATGATAATGGGGAATTGGCTGAGTGCAATGATGAGACAGAGGATCGTGGGAAATGTAGTTCATAAGTGAAGGACACCGTGGGAAAGGAGGACATCTAGTGGACATCAGGGGAACACAAACCCAACACTGTGACATAACCCCCCCTCTACGGAGCGGCTACCAGACACTCCACGACAACAATAAAAAAAAAAACTAAAAAAAACCCACAGAAAACACAACACAATACAAGAGGTTCAGGAGGGAGGTGGAACGGTGGAGGATCAGGGGGAGGGAAGGTGGGCCAGGTCCATGAAGGGAGATAGGAACAAGGGGTGAGGGTTTAATCGGGGACAAGGGCAAAACAAAAAGTTTACCGGGCATCCAGGGGGAAACACAAAGTCCATCGGGAGGCCAGGGCGAGACGCAAAGTCCATCGGGCGGCCAGGGCGAAGAAGACTCCTCGGGCGGCCAGGGCGGTGACCACCCCTCGGGCGGCCAGGGCGGTGACGACCCCTCGGGCGGCCAGGGCGGTGACGACCCCTCGGGCGGCCAGGGCGAGACGCAAAGTCCATCGGGTGGCCAGGGCGAAGAAGACCCCTCGGGCGGCCAGGGCGGTGACGACCCCTCGGGCGGCCAGGGCGGTGAAGTCCCCTCGGGCGGCCAGGGCGGTGAAGTCCCCTCGGGCGGCCAGGGCGGTGAAGACCCCTCGGGCGGCCAGGGCGGTGAAGACCCCTCGGGCGGCCAGGGCGGTGACGACCCCTCGGGCGGCCAGGGCGGTGACGACCCCTCGGGCGGCCAGGGCGGTGACGACCCCTCGGGCGGCCAGGGCGGTGACGACCCCTCGGGCGGCCAGGGCGGTGAAGAACCCTCGGGTGGCCAGGGCGGTGAAGAACCCTCGGGTGGCCCCGGCTCTGGAACAGGCGACGCCGGCTCCGGCTCTGGAACAGGCGACGCCGGCTCCGGCTCTGCAACAGGCGACGCCGGCTCCGGCTCTGCAACAGGCGACGCCGGCTCCGGCTCTGCAACAGGCGACGCCGGCTCCGGCTCTGCAACAGGCGACGCCGGCTCCGGCTCTGCAACAGGCGACGCCGGCTCCGGCTCTGCAACAGGCGACGCTGGCTCCGGCTCAGGAACAGCAGAGGCTGGCTCCGGCTCAGGAACAGCAGACGCTGGCTCCGGCTCAGGAACAGCAGACGCTGGCTCCGGCTCAGGAACAGCAGACGCTGGCTCCGGCTCAGGAACAGCAGACGCTGGCTCCGGCTCAGGAACAGCAGACGCTGGCTCCGGCTCAGGAACAGCAGACGCTGGCTCCGGCTCAGGAACAGCAGACGCTGGCTCCGGCTCAGGAACAGCAGACGCTGGCTCCGGCTCAGGAACAGCAGACACTGGCTCCGGCTCAGGAACAGCAGACACTGGCTCCGGCTCAGGAACAGCAGACACTGGCTCCGGCTCAGGAACAGCAGACACTGCATCATCAGCACGGCGATGTGCTGATTCCGTGCTGGACGAGATCAACGGCGGATGGAGTTCTGGACTGGACATCACCAGCGGTGGCTGGGGAAGAGGACCAGAACCCCCTACTGCTGGAACTATTCATGACTAGGGTTGGGTATCGTTTGGGTTTTATCCGATTCCAGTACCTACTCGGTATTTTTTAAACGGTTCCGGTGCTTAAACGGTTCTTAAATCGGTACTTAAGAAAATGAAACCGCAAACACTTTATCAAAAAATAATACCCTTTAATTTACAGGGCCAAACTGGACACAGTATTAACTTAAATCTTTAAACAATATAAATACAAGTAACATATGGTAATAATAAAACCAATATAAAATAAAAATTCATATTTACATAATATCAAATGAAACAATATTGTATCAAACAATGTAATAATACTGGAGATTAATAGAGATTACTAGCAGGCAGAGCTGCCAACTCTCACGCATTGACCGTGAGACTCACGCAAATGACCCTTTTCACACCGAAAAATCGCGGACAAAGAGGACACTGACAGACAAGACAGAGAAGGTTACTTTTGATATGGAACAAATCCACAGCTGTCAGATTCTGTCAATATTTTTACGAGATTCACACAATAAATAACGTTTTGGCTCTTTGAAATGTAACAGATCGCTGTAGCGCGTCAGTTCAAACGGCACGTGATACAGCAGCCTACAAATCCACTGCTTCTTAGCTACGCAGCGTTGAGTGAAACTATGAAAGAGAACATCTCTGGTTGGTGTAACATATCTCTCAATAGGGAACGGGACGCTGCCAAGCTCCTCGCGCTGCCGACCAGCTTCCTTTTTTCGGCAGAGAAATCAAGGAGCAGATGGCGGCGCGCGCGCGCCAACATAGTATTACGACGTAAGTGCGTCGATGCGGCGCCCGCGCCATCAGCCAATGAATTGGCTTGATTCTATATGGGATTCAGACTATCGGCACACCCAGAGGGCGTTCTGACACGTAATTTTACACGTGAAATGCAGCCAAACCTTGCGAGAAAGAGCGCGCATGCGAGACAGAAGAAACTGTGCTCCAAACTGTGTAGCACACGCACGGCGGAGAGAGAGAGAGCGAGAGACCTTGTGTGTGTGTGTGTGTGTGTGTGCGCGTGTGTTCCTAATGAAGTTAGGCACCGAAATCAGGCACCGAAATTTTCGTTCTTATTCGGTCTGGTTACTACCGTTTACGTCGGAACCGGTTCCCTATTGGCACCGAGTTTCGGTACCCAACCCTATTCATGACAGAGTCCTTCTGTAACGATCCACACACGGGGAAACAAGGGTAAGTTCCAAAAGCAGTAGTTTTATTAGGGATAATCCAAAATCATAAACCAGTCCAAAGCAAGGGTCAAAATCCAAAAGGCAATCCAACATGAACAGGAACAAAACAAGAAGCAAGGAAACTGGATGACAGAAGTAGCATGATACATACAAGGACTCCGTGACACATACTGAAACAGACAGGGTTATATACACAGGGAATCGACCATGATAATGGGGAATTGGCTGAGTGCAATGATCAGTGATAAGGAACAGCTGAGTGCAATGATGAGACAGAGGATCGTGGGAAATGTAGTTCATAAGTGAAGGACACCGTGGGAACGGAGGACATCTAGTGGACATCAGGGGAACACAAACCCAACACTGTGACAATAGGAAAGGCAAGCGGAACACATGTCCAACACAAACAAAGACAAAGCTATACACAACACAAACAACACTCAAGCACAACACAAACATTGCCACATGAAACTGATTTCAATAGTTCAGGTCAGGGAAGTGGAAGGAAGTTGGACTGCTTCTAGATCAATCTTTGAGGTTGGTTCTTCTGCAAGGAGGTAATCCAGGATAATCCAGGAAGAATGCAATCCAAACGAAACTGCAAATGCAACAGCTCAGTAAAACACAAGACAGTAACAGACGAAGAACAGATGAGACGGAGGGATATGTAATAAAGCAAGGAGCTAAAAAAAGAAACAGGTGAAGACCAGTGTTGCCAGATTGTGCGGGTAAAAAAGGGTTTGGGCGGGTGGACAAAATTTGGGCTGGTTTGGGGTTAGTTTGGCGGTTTTCAAACATTTGCATTTTAAAGTCTAATTGGTTAATAAACCAAACTAAAGTGTGCATGTAGTCCATTAAATCAGTCATCATGACATTAAACACACGCCCATGCAGAGTCAGCTGGCGTTGGTGTTGACGTCGCTGACGAGCAAGCAGCCAATCAGCGATCAGCAGGCGGGCGCAATTTAGTGCGATGATAACTTATAGCTGTATTTTCAAGTCATCACTAATGCCAAAGTGGCATAAATATACAGTAAGTTGTATCTACAGTAAAGAGTGAGATGGTGAGCAACTCTACAAACGTGGATTACACATGTGGTGGGAGCACAGTTGAATGACTTGAATTGAAATCGAATATGGGTCGACTCCTGTCCATGGTCATGTGCACACTGGCCTAACCAGACATCTGCAACCTTTACAGACTGCACTCTACTCCTCCCTGACAGCTGCTGAAAAAGGTTTGAATCAATGATGAATCAGTTTTGACTGCTAAATTCTGCGTTATGTTCTGCAATGTGTACATCCGAGGATTAAAGTCATCGGTTCATTTCTTGATTGCCGTTTTAAAAGTGTCCACCTGGACATTTTAGTCATATTTGCTAATTCTCCTTAATTATTGCCCTGTTTTAGGTCAGTTTTCCTGGAAAATTTATTTATTTTTATCATCGTTATTTTGTTTTAAGGAGACAAAAATGGTACTTTTCAACCTTGAATGACATGGCAATAAAATTACATCATATTATTTTCGCAGTAAAATTTTGGTCGGGTTTTTCTTGGAGTGGGTGGGTTTTGGTGAGCTTTTGGGCTGGAAATCACTGTCCCAATCTGGCAACACTGGTGGAGACAATGAATAAACAAGGAAACCAAATGGCAACAGGAAGAAACACAGGAAGTGAGGATAACTACACCAGAACTAAATACAACTTCATGTAAAATATTAACATAAGGACAGGTGACACCTATTGCTTTCGAAGTACAAACATACCATTGGTGGCATCCCAGCTAACACACAATGTAACATAAGTCTGTTTGTTGCCTTCCATTGTGTTCAGTCTTGAGCCCATTCATCCTGTGTATCCCGTTGCCTGGCTTCAAGTTAAGTGTATCTCTTGTATATATTGGACCCTTGTGTCTGTTTTTGTTTTCACTGTTTTATGGAAGCTTGGCTCTCTTAGATTATTTGTACTTTATATCTTTTGCTTCACTAATAAAGATTACTGATATTTTTGGAAGACTCAAGTCTCCTGGTTCTTTTGCTCTTCTGCTATTGGGTTTAACTGTTGGGGAGTTAGGTCAGTGAGTAATTTCACACACTTAGAGCACCAGAGACTAGGGTTCAATTCTCACCAAAGGCAGCCCCTTACAGCAAGACTGAACCATGGAAGAAAGCCCAGTAGTAGAGTTTAAACCACCCTCTAACGTTGAACGTATCCTGACTGCACTCTCTGAGCAAGCCACAACCATTCAGCGACATGATCAGGCTTTGTAGGAGATTCTCCATCTTCTGAACCTCCAGTCCTAAACCTCTTCACTTAGAGAACCCCAACAGTCTCTTGACTTGGTCCTATATCCAGATCCACACTGACACTCCCTTCTGAGCCCAAATAACCAGCCACAGAGCAGTTTGACGGTGGACTTGAGAGACGCAGATTCATTACCCAGTGTACTCTGGCCTTCCAATTCAACCCAGCATTTTTCCCACTGAGAGCAGTAAGGTGGCCTACATTATTACCCTCCTCATGGGGAAGGCGCTCGACGGGGCCTTGTGGGACCAGATGTCTCCTCTGTCCACGAACAGTCAAGATTTCATTGGAAAGATGAAAAAGTGTTTCAACATCCAGCCAGTAGGGGAGACGTGGATCATCGCCTGCTGAATCTCTCTCAAGGGACCCGGAGCGCCCCTGAGTTTGCCATCGAGTTTCATACTCTTACGACCAAGGGTGGATGGGATCAATGAGCCCTAAGAGCGACCTTTCACCATGTTTTGTCCCCCGAGCTCAAGGACAATTTAGCATTTCGAGACCCTGCTCCTGATCTCGAGTCCCTCATTGACGTGGCCATCCAGGTCGACCATTGTCTCAGAGAATGACAGCTGGAGCGACAGTGGGATACCAGCTTACTTGAGGTTACCAGTCCTCAAGTAAGTCCTGTTAAACTGTCTCCTCCCCCTGGTGACCCAGAGTAGGAAGGCCGGGGTGAGACTAGGAACCATCCCCTGCTCTGTGACCTTGGGCCCAGGGCCAGCAACACCATCAAATATGTGCCTTTGTTGACTAAGGGGCCTCCGGGAGTTTTATGGACTTTAAGATGGCCCAGAGTCTCGCTATTCCCCCTGTGATTCTCCCAAACCCCCCTTACGTACATTACAGAAGTCGACGGCAGCCCGCTGGGGTCAGGTCTGGTCACTCAGTTCACTCCGCCTCAGCTACAGGTGGGGGAACACTAGGAATGGATACAGTTTTTCTTAATTCATTTTCTATAATCCTTGGTTTCCCATGGTTGACTGCTCACAACCCACATATTGACGGGTCCCGAAAAGTCATTAGAGAGTGGGGAACCAACTGCCAGATCTTGAATACTGCTTTCTGCTGTTCCTCTGAGCTAATTAAGACTTTCCAAGAACTCTTGCCAGACAACTCCAAGAACAACTCCATCTTAATGCTCAAAGCCCCGTTCACGGAGATCATGGCCATTCCCAGGATGGAACCTGTCACTACCAAGTCCCCACCTCACCCTCCCGAGCCAACCCAGAATACACGGCCCTCATCGAATTCTTCAGTAAAGTCCTAGCTGCCACACTGGTCGGTCTGGATCTGGTCCTCCATCAGCATGTTCCACCCCCAGTCCAATGGCCACACTGAGAAGGTAAATCAGGAGATTGAGAAGACACTGAGGTATCTGGTCCAATCCACTTGGAGCTCTCGACTTATCTAGGTTGAGTTTGCTCATAATACCCTGTACCATTCCTCTTTTTAGGCGTGTCCCCCTTTGAGTGTCCGTATTGTTGTTCCCCCCCCCCCCCCCCCCCCCCCATTTCCTGGACAGGGGCCAGAGGTTAAAGTCCCAGCCACCATACAGCTCGTCTGCCGGTGTCAAAAGGTCTCATTTGGCCAAACAAACGAACGTGGTGTGATTATGGTTCCAGGCTCCAAGTCAGGTGGTGGCTTGATCATTCAGATCATTTCATCCAGTTTTTTCTGCTTGAAGATCAGGATACATCATACCATAGGTTCTGTGCAGGGGACTTGACTGTTTCTCATTGTCTTTGCTGAGGATCTTTGCCAAGGGTTGTCTAGTCAATGAGGTCTTCGCTGGTGATCTGTCTCTAAGGCTTGTCTGTCTAGTTGTCATGGCATCCTCTGACATTCAGGGCTGCGTTGTGGTCATCTCAGGGTGCAGGTCCACCATCTGGTCTGGATACACAGACGATTTTGATATTCTAGGTGTTATCAACTGGCCAGAATTTTGAGACTGTAATTGATGTTAAGAACTGTAATCCAATAGGAGCTCGCTCAAGCACTGAGGAGCTAAACTATTTAGAGTTTTATAAGTAATCAGAAAGATTTTAAAATGTATGGCATGTTTAAGGAAACCATGCAATGTTGATAAAACTGGGCTAATACGGCCATATTTCCTGGTTCTAGTAAGAACTCTAGATGCTGCATTTTGGACCAGCTGTTGTTTGAGTCTGCAGGTCAACCACCCAGTGAGGCATTACAATATGCTTTACAGTATGTGGCTTTTGGTGGAACTACGTGTGTGAATGATAGTTCAAGTTAATAAAGTCTGTGTAAAGTTTATCGTATTCCCATTACAGAAATTACGTCCAAATTATACTCTGCAAGACCGGGAAAATCATGTGACTGAGAACAAGGCATGTTGATTAATGTGAAGGGAGGGGGAAATAATTATGCCCCTGAGCTAAAGACAATAGTTATGCCCTGAGCTGGCCCTGTTGGGCCAAACTGTTGCTTAAAGGTAGGTTAGGCAATTTTCGGAGAGGCTAGCATTAGCGGGCTAGCTTTGAAAGCACAAGATCCCACCCTCCCTTCAGTGCACTCCCGAAGCCATGCCTCCTCCAAAGCACATGAACGCGTACAGCAGGATGCAAATAAAAGCGCCACAAGAGACGGCATTAAACTACTTCGCCTCAAAGCACATAACATTACAATAATAATGCACATAAACAACTTATAGAGCACTGACCTGTACCACCCGACTGCTGCATATTACTTTCGGCGTTGATAGTGTTGCCATTGAAATGGATATATTCGAGTCATAAACGTCAGAGGTTTCCATCTCTTCAAAATTACAGTAGTTATGGTGTGAATTCAGCATAATCTCGTTGTTTTGGTTCCGGAGGTCTGTCTAACTCTGCATAACTTGAAATGGATTTATGACATTAACATATGCGCTAAAAAAAATTCTGGTTAACGTGGTAAAAATATTTAACGTAATTAAGTACCATCCGTTTTTTTTCCTGGCATCCTCAGTCTTTCAATCCATTTGTTGATTAATACCTGCTTTTTGTATTCTTCTCCTACAGAATGACCATCCTTCCTTCAAAAGAGAAACTGAAGATAGTGTTGGCCAAGATTAAGGAGTTTCACCAGCATTTCACGGACCAATACTCTTAAAGGGATACTTCACCTCTGGGAAGATGAATGTGTATTTAATATTGGTCATTTATATAGTAGAAATGTGAAATTATTTTTGAAATTGAAGCATTCTAGACTGAGAAAAGGCAGAAAATTTATTTTTTACTCATGTGGCTGAAAGACAACAACTCCCAGAATGCACTTGCTTTGCTGCCCTTACGAGTCCACTCCCAAACCACGCCTACCGGTTACAGGCGGCAGAATCTGAAAAATGGATACAACTAGGCTTGCTTTGATACATCGTGAGTTATTTGATAAATTTCCGTCGAAATGGTGCTAAATTGCGTTGTACCGGGATGTACTAGCCTAATGTATATAACACAACTTAGACTTTCACATTAAAAATATGATGCAAGGCAGGACCATGTCAACAGAGTAGCTTAGTAGCTCTGCATATGAACTGTTTTCCTCCAATTGAAATCACTATTTCTCTAAGCTAATACATTATCTAGGCTAATCCATACTCTAGTGACACTAAAGGTTTATAAAAAGAACCACAACCAATGTGAGTTATAACTTTTAATTAAAAAAATAATTAATATTAACACTTTTACACTCAAAGCTCTGCGGATTCAGCGATCTCGTCCAGAAGAAAATGGCATCGCTGAGATTCGCGACAGCAATAGGACTCTGTATCTGTTTCCATAGGCGCACAGCGAGAGCACTGACACCGCCAGTCCGCCCCAGCTCGAGTCTGGCCGGGCTCAGGTCTCGCTCCGGCCGCCTCTTGTTCCTCCATCTCCCGCAACTGTTTATCGCTGTATTGCGGCTCGTACAGGTAGCCGCGAGCATCAGATTCTCGCAACAGATCTTCGAAATCCCCTTCTGCCATTTCAACTTCAAAACTACTTTCCGCCATCGTGATTAGCCTACAAACTTTCTACACAGACCAAGAGGCAAGAGCCTATTAGCTTAGCTTCTACAAAAAGATGGCTGACACTGTCTTTACATTCTGTGAGTGAGATCCCGCCCCATATGGGTGTGGTGAAAACATGCAGAACACTGGCTGTAGTCTTTAGCCTCTGGCACAAAAATCCTCCGATGATGCAAAATGACGATTTTTGCGTCATCGGAGGATTTTTTCCAGACTAAAAATTTATTTTTCTCTCATATCTACTACTGGTTTTCAAAATACTACTGGTTTTCTACTGATACAAAGCTTAATGCTAAATCCTGAAGTATCCCTTTAACCCTTGCCATCTCATTTTCTGACAGACTTAACCAAATCCTCAATTTCTCACATAAAGCTACTGCACTTTTGGGATGTGTTCTATAGGTAAATACCTGCAATGCAAATTAAGTCCTATCTCACAGCATGGACAATGTGAGGTGAACACGAGCCATGCTGAGAGGACAGTATTTTATCCACCCCGGCTTCTATAAATGGCAATGTCAAATGTTTTTGGGGGACAAAAAACGAACTTACATTTGTGGTGAGCAATTAAAATATTAATGCTTTTTTACTAGTAATATTTTAACACAGAATTATTCATTTCTATTAAGATTGGTTCTATTTGTTTATTGAATGTTTGTTTGTTTGTTTACTGTATACTGTAGTTCATTCTTGCTGTGCTAAAATAAATTACATTGTGAACTTGGAAAGGACAGCTGTTAACATCATTTATTTACAAAATATGATTGTGCAGTTGGTTAATATATATGAGTAAAATTTTTATTAAATATGAGGAATGAATTAAATACTTTTAAAATAAGATTATTGAGCTTGTGAACAGTGGTACGATAACATCATGCATTGTCATTGCCAGCAGTTCTGCCACACTCTTAGGCCAAAAAGTTCAGTGGGGTTTATTTATAGACCCTTGGGCCAAAAAGTTTCTATAAGGAGAAATGACTTTAAATGATTGCATAATACTTTCATGTTTAACAGGTAAAAAAATGTTCTAGTTTTAAAGTATGTTACTTAATAGTTAATTAATAAAATGTGATCAAAATTTATTTTTATATAATCCATAAAATGATCCCATGATGGGAATAGGATCCCTTATTCCCTCTGTCAGGTTCTATATAGAACCTTTTCTTCTAAGAGTGTAGTAAAATGTGCTGGGATTGGCAGTTGAGCAACAGAAGATCACAGCACATCTCAATTCTTGTACAGATGCATTCTGTGTCCTCATGTCCTTCCAAGTTAAATATTTTAAGGTATCCTGCAAGTCTGTTTTGTTTTTTTGCATTCTTAGAATTGAGATTCAGCCGCAATCTGGAAAAATGAGAGGAAATGGAAACATGACAGAACTTCAAACTAAAAATCATAACAAGAGCAGTCAAGGGCTGTTATACAATATCCGCTAAGAAACAAAACTGTGGTTCCATCAACAGTCAGAGAAACAAACATTCACACCAATTCCACAGGTAACAACAGTATTAAGAATCAAGTGCATCTAAACCGTAAAGTGCATGTAGTCTTTTTTGTCAATTCAGCTAATATTTTGTCTTTTGAACTATATGTAGCCCATATAACATGGAGGGCAAAGAAGGCTGGCAGAAGTGTGGATCTAAGTGCAGGCATATTTAATAACAAAAGCAAAACAGAAACCAATGAACACAAGGGGCAGGAGAACAAGAAAACAAGAATACAAGAACACAATAAAATACAAAAGTAAGTTTTGGGAGTTCATTTTTAGTCCATCTCTGCAAAATGGACTTCAGGGTATGAGATGGACTAAAAATTAACTCCCAAAACTTACTGCCAGATTCTGGAAGATAAATTCTTCAAACAGTTGTTGTTCAAGAGGATGTGGTGCTGGTCCTTCAAGAGTCACTCTCAAACTGTGTGTCTATAAAGCCAAAAAAAAAATTTGTTTTATTTTACTGCACTTCAGCTTGTGATTCTTATTAAGTCGGGGTAATTTTTTAGGATTCTTTACCTAACCTAAGTCTCTGAGATCCTGACTCCTTGCACTTCTGGAGACTCCAGGTAGGTTGCAGTTCTGGAAAATGGTGGCGCTGGAGACTAAAGGGTTCCTGATGGTTTCACACTTTTCACAATTCTTCACCTTAATTCTTAATTATTTTGCAGTTAACATGTGTCTTTTATTATCCACCTGCATGGTTTTGAATGACCCTGCTGACCCAATGAGCATTTCACTGTCCAATGGTCATGCCTTAGCTGCAATTTCTAGTATTGCATCATTCTCATGGGCATTTAACAATTTTTTAAGACTTTTCAGTCTGAGTTAAATCTCTTTTTTGGCTTATTTTATCTGTAAAAGAAAACGTGCCTATAATTATGCACACCTGAATATAAGGCATTTTTATTTCCATCGTTCATGAATAATTACATATCACTTATAAATGATTAAATACAAAATGAATAGTAGTTATTAAGATTAATGTGGTTTGGAATTGGTAAAATGTGCCTGGAAAAAAAATATGATCAGAAAATCAACGTGTCTAATAATTCTGCACGCATGCAGTGTAGAGAGCGTGCGCTTTTTTCCTCTGGGTTCCCCCCACACAACAGGATTTCTGATCGTAAATTTTCAACGTATACTTGTACTTTTGTACTTGTACTCCATTACATTTACAATGAAAAAAATAATAGGCCTACTTTTTACACCAATACAATACAGTACACGTCAAATGTCACCATGACAAATCTTTCCTCAATGATTTAAAAATAAAACGTTTTTTTTTTTTTTCTTAATTTTATGTTACAAGCAAATTAATCATGCTCACATAAGCTTTTATTTAAACAGCCAATGAAATTTATTAATGTAAATACTGGCAACATTTTTTTAGAAGAATAGTTCACCAAAAAATAAAATCCTTTTCATTACAAATGTGCATGACTTTGCAAAAGAAGAAGTTCTGAAGAATAAACATGCTTTTCAACGACCCCATGGATGGGGACCAGGGGCTTTAAAAAAACATCATTAAAATTATCCATACAAGTATTCCAAGTCTTCCGTCATCGTGGCCGATTTTTTAGATTGCACACTAAAAAATTCAGTTTTTTCGCATATTTCCCCATTCACTTCCTATGACATTTGACTGCGAACATATAACTTTAAAAAAAGATTTATTTTTGGCTTTTTTGCCTTATGACAGGACAGTGAGCTCATAGGAAGTGAAGTTGGAGAAAAAGAGGGGGACAGGATCAGTGAAGGTCAACTAGTCGAGACTCGGCCTTGGGACGCCTGAAACGCAACTGAGCTATATGCACTCCCCGCGAGGCAATTTGCGCCGACGTGTGACCATTGTTTAACGACCATTAAGATTATAAATAGCAACTGCCACAAATGTCACCAAGTTTTGTACCATTCCGATAAAGCATCATTTTATAAAATTTTCGAAAATGACCAAACACCAGAGAGTTAAGTCACTCTAGAGTCTAGACAGCACCACTATGTCAGACTGTCTTGTTGGTGAGATGATCAGATCTGTGTGGATCATACCTTCTGTTGTAGGACTCATTACAACATTTGAAGAAAAAAAAAAAGAAAAGAAAAAAAGGATGATTTAAACTCTAAATTTCAGATTTCCTCCTGGCACATCTATTCTGCACAAGCGTTTGCACAGTACTGTGTATTACATACATAGTTATTCACACAACGTATTACAATATGATTTAGTGACATTTCATTTCAAATGGAACTTTGGAAGATTCAGGCAATATGCAGTATGTTAGCAGTCATAAGTACTTTATTAAATCACTGCATAAAAATGTAAAAACAAGTATTTGAGTGTTGAAAGGATTTGAACATTTGTGACAGTGTGTCTTCACTCTCTCCATGGGGTGTGCATTGTGTCTCCCTGTTGTGTGAGCTCTGGAGAGAGAAAGAAAGGGGGATTAACAAAATAACAGCAAAAGATTAAGTGATTAAATAAAAGGAATTTTAAATGTGCATTAAATACATAAACAGATAGGGTATAATAGGGACACAATTCTTTCAAGACACAAAATGAAGTTCAAAACGTAGGTTCGGGAGAAGCCTAAACATTCAGTCCTGTCAATCATCATTACTATACAAGCAGCAGACACCACATCATTCCATTGACAAATTCTTCCTGCAGCCGCCCTTCCCACCTACTCCTCCTGTAAATTATCTCTATCCTCTTATGCTCAATTCCATCATGGGGGGTTTTAACTCGGAGCTCAAGCCAAGCCTCAGGTTCGAGCCTCTTCCAAGGACAGCAAGCCAAGTTAGTTTGCTATTAACATTTAAGGCTGAATGGGAAGGCGAACTAGTGAATTAACTTTCTTACCTTGCGAGTACGCTTTTCTTTTCTTTTTCTGGATCCTTCTTTCAGTTTTTAGGTGCCTGCATTCTTCCTTTCCATGCATTGTCTGCCAGAAGAAGATATAGGTAACAATATAGAGTATATATATACACATATACACAGAGAATTTGGGCAACAGTCTCTTGGCAGCCCTACCTTTCTGCAGTCTCTGTAACAATCTCTCATTTGGGTTGATAATACAGTCTTCCCCACTCTTTTCCCAAGTTCTCCATTCAAGGTCAACACATTTATCTTGAGCAGCGCTGGCATTAAGGCATTGGTAATTTTCGAACAGTCCCGTTTGATCTCTGATTTTAGGCTGATAAGCAGCACAGCCTTTTGCCACATGATTTCCCAAAATAATTTTTTGGATATCATGGACTCCCTCAGTAGCCCTTTTGTCATCAAAGGTTATCATTTTAGCAATCTCTTCTCTTTTGCAACAAAGACCATCTGAAAAAGAAAGCTTTCTATGATCCTTTCCTTTCATGTTATATCTACATGATGTGCAGAAGGGAAGCTTTTTCTCCAATGTGGAATGAGAAACCCAACCACACGTCATTGCAGATCCATCAAGCCTCGGACTGCTTTTTGCTTTGCGCTTGCAAGTATGAACCGAACCATGCTTCTGATCTGAGACATCAATTGCTGGTCTTTGGTTCCTGGTGTCTTTCCCATTTCTGAGAGAAGATTCAAGACCAATGGCAAGGGACATCTTTGGTAGCCGCCTCTCTGAAATGTTAGGCTGTTGTTGTTCAATGGGTAACTTACTGTAGTAATATACATTACCAAAGTCAGCCAGCCAGCTTGTTGAGGGACGGTATGGTGAGTGGGCCTTAAGTGAGCTAAGGGAGTCTTCACGTTTAGTTGATGCACCGGTTTGTTGACTTACCCCTACTGGAATACCATTAGTGGAAGACTGATTCATCTCTGACAGAACATCACTGAATTTAATCTGTGGACTCAGAGGTTTCTGAGGAGTTAAAAATCCATTCTCAACCATCCACTCATTTGAAGGCACATACGGCATCAAAGACTCTACTGACCAGGTAGAGGCCTCTAGTTGATGTGGAAGACCATGATATTTAGTAGATGCATCAGTTTGTTGATACTTCCCTACAGGAACACAATTTGGCTTTGAGATACTATGACTGGGTTCAATCAGTGGGCTCAAAGGTTTCTGAGGGGTTAGAAGACCATTCTCCATCATCCACTCACTGGACGGCACATACGGCATCAAAGACTCTACCGACCAGATAGAGGTCTCTAGTTGATGTGGAAGACCATGATATTTAGTAGATGCATCAGTTTGTTGATGCTTCCCTACAGGAACACAATTTGGCTTTGAGATACTATGACTGGGTTCAATCAGTGGGCTCAAAGGTTTCTGAGGGGTTAGAAGACCATTCTCCATCATCCACTCACTGGACGGCACATACGGCATCAAAGACTCTACCGACCAGATAGAGGTCTCTAGTTGATGTGGAAGACCATGATATTTAGTAGATGCATCAGTTTGTTGATGCTTCCCTACAGGAACACAATTTGTCTTTGAGATACTATGACTGGTTTCAATCAGTGGGCTCAAAGGTTTCTGAGGGGTTAGAAGGCCATTCTCAATCATCCACTCACTGGACGGCACATACGGGTTAAAAGACTCTACCGACCAGATAGAAGCCTCGAGCTGACAAGGCTGGTCATGGTACTGTATGTCAAACGGCAGCCGCAGAATCTTAAAGGGAACATTGGTAGAGTTTCCATCTTCCTTCTCCTCTGTATGAAAAGGCATCTCTGATTTTTTCTTTGCTTTAAGGCTTTGGGTAACGACAGATCTGCTTGGCTTAGGATACGTTTTAAAAGTTCTACAAGATGGAGAAGTTCTCACCACAGTAACTTCTGTACAAGCAGGGAGACAATGCTTACTGGAGTATCTTAACATCCCAGCTTCAACCTTCCGTTTATCCTTCCTTACTGCTAATGACTGGTAAGAGCACAAGACGACATCCTCTGAAGATTGTACAGATGCCAAGCTGCACTGCAAAAGGTCAGTTTCGTTCTGACTAACTAGCTCCATGTTCTGAAAGATCTTAAGCCCAGAAGGCATTTCATTGCATTTGATTTGTACCCGTTCGGCTTGGAGGACTTCAGTCTTGGGAACAGCAGATAAACCAGTAATGTCAATAGTATTGGTGGCATTGCAATTTTGAGTCAGTGTGGATGTACCTTCAGGGCAAGCTACTGATTTGTTATCTGAGGAGCAGGGGGATGTTGACACTGGACTGTCACAGCCAGTACCCCTACCTGATTCAGAACAAGTTTGGGACCTTGCTGCATGTCCATGTGAGTCTATGCTATGACAAAAGGGTTCAGTTTGCACCTCTGAGCTGACCATCACACGACCAACAGGCAAACCGTTTTGGAAATGGGATCGGTGGGTCTGGTGGGCAATAATTGGAGCCACATGGGGAGTCATTCGTCTGTAGTCCAATATGGGCAGTTGAGCATGAGGAATCATGTATCCAGGGACTTCCAAACACGGGGGAAGTAGTAGTGGCATCATGCCGTAACCTTGAAAACAAAGAACAGTCATATCACGTAAATGTGGGTGTCAATGAATACATTTTAACAGACTGCCTGGTAGCATTAACAGCTGGATCCTAGTATCCTGAAAATTAAAAATCCTCAAATCACACTTAATTCATGTAAAGTAAATATCACACTTCATGTTATGAAAAATTTGCAGATTCCTCCATATTTTCAATCGAGAGCTTAATATGCTTGAGACAATCCAGAAAACCCATCAGGAAGCTTTTAGAAACACTTTTTAGGAACATCATGTTCATCGGGTAAAATTAAATAAAAGGCACAATAAATAAAGTAAAATCCTGAAAAATTGCTCAGTTTAATTCAATTGAAATCCATATCTGAAGAAAAAAAAAATAGCAACCCTAACAATATTTAGTAAAATGAGAAAAGAAACAGGTATGGTTTAGAAGATACCTGATCCATGAAATCCACCGTAGGGAGCATATGGAGTTGGCATGGACCACTGATATGGGAAGAGAGGTTGGACATTGGGAACGTAAAAGGGTTGGTTTTGATGGAGGTGTTCATCTGGGTGTAACACTCTGGAGGGCAGAGGACCAGGGAGCGGATGGGCCTGTGCATACAGTGATCCACTCAGTACACCTGCCATAGCACCAGTGGGCTCTTGGGTAGCAGTTATACTTGAAGAAGAACAACAAGTCAAGAGAGGGTTTTAATAATTTGGTCAGACTAGTCTTTAAACTACAGTCAGGCTTTTGTTTTTGAAGTTGAACTGAAGCAGTTCTCATTTTTGTTTGGGATGATTTTAGAATGCTTGACCTTTCTTATATTATATAGTTCTTTCAAAAGCAAGATGAACTTTTACTTATCAATCCACACTTTATTATCAGTTTTATTTTACATGTATTTAGGCTTTGCTAGCATTTTATGACAAACAGTTATCAAATGTTTGATAGCAACTGAATGGTTTGTTTAAACTATTAAAACTTCAATTAAACAAAGTAGGTGGCTTTATTTAGATTTTACATCGCTTACCTGAAAAGCTTTTTCAGACCAGAAATAATCACAATAAAAGTTAACCTACAGTTTTCCACAAGTTTAAATCAATAGTGTGTTGTGAACCCAGAGAAAACCACACCCAAATAATTAGACCAATTAATTAGAATGACATTAATTAGAACGAAGCATGAGCTGATTAGGCAGTCCAGCTGACTCTATTAGAAAGGCTGTTGATTCCAGAAAAGTTGTTTGGTGTTAGTTTAGTTTACTATTAATGCACAACAACTGCAAACACAGAAAGATGATAGGCTTGTGTGAGATTCCAAATGCCTCACCTTAGACAAGAGTAGATAACTGCAGTCAGGGGATCCAAAAAAATGCAGTCAAAAGTGTTGATCAGCCACCCACGAGATCAAAAGTGGATATTTCTTGATTAATACTCCTTTGCCTTGTTTTAATAAATTGGATGTGATTTAGTAAATGTTATTCAATTCAACCCCCCAACCAACCAATTTTTTTTTTTTTTTTTTATAAAGACATGTATTTTATATAGCCTATGTGTGTATAGATGGTTTGAACAACCATGATGTTTTGTTCTCTTCTAAAATGCTTGATTTTAATACACACACACATATATAATATGTATATAATAATAATAATAATAATTCATTACATTTATATAGCGCTTTTCTCTGCACTCAAAGCGCTTTACATATGGAAGGGGGAATCTCCTCAACCACCACCAATGTGCAACATCCACCTGGATGATGTGACGGCAGCCATAGTGCGCCAGAACGCCCACTACACACCAGAGGAGACAGAGTGAAGCAGCCAATCAGGCTATATAAGGGGATGATTAGGAGGGCATAATGGACAGAGGCCACTGGGGTTACACCTCTACTTGTTTGAAAGACATCCTGGGATTTTTTTGTGACCACAGAGATTTAGGACCTCGGTTTAACGTCTCATCCGAAGGACGGTCCTCTTTGACAGTATAGTGTCCCCATCACTACACTGGGGTGTAAGGACCCACACAGACCTATATTTGGAGATGCCAGATGAAGCCTTATATTAAACTAAGCTTATGAAATGTCTAATGATTTAAACTTCACCATAATGCACACCGCACATTTGACACCTCAACAATATCTTGTAGTTCCAGACATTAACTGTTCTTTTGTCTTGCACTCTTATGGAGATTGTGATCTTGTTGCAACTGTAGCACATTTGAAGTATTAGGATAGTACAAATATAAAAAAAAAACATAACATCACTGACATAAAAAAGAGCACTGAGCACATACTATTTCATCATGTAACAGAAAAAACAGACATAAAGACATAAAAAATCGGAGATGAATGCATTGTACAACACAGTCACAGCAAACAAGAAGGACCCAACTGCGACAAACAGGATGTACAAACAGGATGAACTCAAATGTTAAAAATGTAGGCAGGCGCAGGCCACCAGAGCGGACATAAACAGGAAGATGAGGTCAGACAGGACCCGATAGCCTGTGTTGTGAGTGCCACCGTCTGGACAGAGCAGGTAGTTGGAAGAGAGAGCAGTGGAACCAGACTGGGTAAGGGGATCACGTGTCAGTGCCCCGCTGTGGTTTGCTGTCGCTGCTCTCCCACACAGAAAGCTCAAATTGTTCGATTGTTAAAGCAACATACACATACAGCCAACAGAACATGTGCCATATGGTCAGTCCTCTCCGCTGCTCTCCTTTGTCTGTTGAGCATTAAATCTCATCATCTGGTAGCTGAGATAAAACCCATTTAAACCAAACTCTCTCCAAGCACATGAATCTTTCATAGCGGTAAAGATGAATGTTTTCACAGTGTCTTCTCATGTTTTTCCGCTATCATCTTTCTTATCTCTGTGCTCAGGCGATGGAGGAAATGATGTCAGCACGATCCAAGCAGCAGACTGTGGTATTGGTATTGAAGGGAAGGGAAGGTATTTCTCATTAACTTAGATTGTCTTTTCCTGTTGCTGTAACTTTTCAATTTATCTTTAATTAACCATATTTCCCTCCAAATACATTCTCACTATTTGTCTAGGTGTTTTACTTTTTTGCATCTAATTCTTTTTGCCCCATTATTTGCACCCATTTGGGACCCACATGAGCCCATATAATGAACATCTAAATTGGTCCTACTTAGAGCCAACTATGGACCCAACATTTGCCACTATGGACTAACATTTATGGGTCCCACGTGGAGCCAATGGACACATTTCCAATGGACAAATTTGGGTTGCAAATGCAGGGCCTCAGTGACAGCCCATCAAATACCTACATGGGGTCCACAAGGAAATGTTGGCTGGGCAAGAACCACAGAGAGAATAAACTATACAAGTTTTTTTTGTTTTGTTTTTTGCTTAACTCATAATTTAGTTCAATTAATTAATACCACCTTAATCAATTCAGAATGATTCACTTTAAATCATAATAAAATGCAATTAGATTTGAATAGGATTTAATGCTTTCTCTAATGTGACTTGAGAAAGAAAATTAAACTAGGCCTACTTTGTTTATTGCACCAAAAAGTAAATTGAAAGGCAGCATTTACTTTTAAATAAAAATCTAAGAATCATTTTAGAATAAGCTATTTCACTTAACAGATGTTTATATATTGACCACAGGACAAAATAATAACTGAATTTATTAGGGGTGTAACAATATATCTTGTCACAATATATCACAATGCAAAAATGCAATAATATGTATTGTGGATATTGACATTGACATATGTATTGTGTATCGTTTACCCAGGAAAAAAATCTAATTTTCAGTTTTAGTGTTGGTAATACATTACACTGCCATATATAAACGTGAATATATATATATATATATATATATATATATATATATATATAATGCAATGGGGGAATATTTGTGGGTCCTGATAATGGCCTACATTATTTTAAATACAGTAAATCTGGTCAGTGACAGAGTGCAAACATATTCGTCTAAAATAATTCTTTATTTTCAGCCTCAGAATCATGAATATTTTTATTTTGGTGTCACCATTGTCCTGTGCATTGGGTTACTAGCACCAAGTCCAAACCTATTAATTTAAACCCACACTGTAATATCAAATTTAGCATTTTAATCAACAGTAAATTTTTTGTTAACCTTTTATCATATTGGAGTATCGCAATAATATCGTATTGTGAGTTTAGTATCGTGATATCGAATCGTGACATGAGGGTATCGTTACACCCCTAGAACTTACACAAAAGACCTAGTGTTTAGAAATATCACAATTAGGCTACATTGTGTCTGTTACATATGAACTAACAAATAGACATTTAAGTTTATTTGGTACTTTCCTGTTATCCGGACCCCACGATGGCCTACCCCTAACCCCGCCCCTAAACCTACCCGTCACTGGGGTTAAGACCAATCAGGGACGATGGCCTACCCCTAACCCCGCCCATGGTATATGGTGGGGTCCGGATAACAGGAAAAAAACATTTTTTCAATCCTAATCAAAAGTTCTACACTGGTCTTCACTCCCATTTAAACACTTGGGCCAAATACAGGAAATACAACCTCGGAGGACAAGTGGTCAAGTGCAAAGACTGCATGTATGGGTATTGAGACAGGCCCTCTCACAGAGACTTATTGACGTTAAGGCTATAGAGTGCTGCAGAGAAGACATATTTTTGTAGGCAAAAATCTGAAATCTGGTTATCAATTTAGCACTTCCGGTTCCACTGTCCTGAGGTCAGTGGGTTTTTTGAATGGGTTTTTGATTAAGTGCCGTCTTTGGTGGACACAAGCTCAATATATTTGCACGTTTTATTCGACGACATAAAATACATTAGTAATACCCCTTGTGATTTAAAAAAAAAAATTGTCTTGAAAAAGGCAGTTACTAACAAGTGGCTAAATGGGACTACAGAGGTTGTCTGGGACATTAAACGTCATCGCGCTGAACAGGATAACCCATCTATCTCAACTAGTCCGCTTTAACAGCCTTATTGTGTTTATAATCATGCTCTACCTCCATCTTTCAGGGAAAATGTTTTTTTTTTTTTAAATAAAGACTGAAAAAGTTGTCAGAATCTTAAGGATGGTGACATTGAAGTCATGAGACTGTGGTTCCGAAGTTATACCCTATGTTTAGCTTTTGCTTCAAAATTAATATAAGTTGTGTTAATTTGTGAAGATTATACAAAACGTGTAAGTATCATAAACTTTTGTTAGTCGCAGATCTTATTTTCTGCATAATCCAAAAGAAACTGGAAAAATCCTATTGGGGTCCATTCTTTGTACCTCGCTTAATACATCTGAGATGATTTGACAGCTGCCAGATCTTCTAATCGTGATAACTGATCTCTGGCTAATATCGTTCTTCAAATTAATTAAGTTCAAATTATCAAGGGCTGATATCGATACTCAAAACCATGATCAGGTAACACTTTATTTTGTCAAAAATAGTTACTAACTCTCATTAGATTATTAGTAGGCGATCTGCTTAATATCTGCTAACTTGTTATTGTGATGCTCCTCCAAAAGACATTCTACTGACTAAGTAATTTTGCAACTACATGTCAACTTATTCTACTAACCCTACCAGTCTACTAATACTCTACTCTACTAACACTCTAATGAGAGTTAGTTGTAGGTGCAACATTACTTATAGTCCATATAATGTGTTAAATGGACCATCAAAATAAAGTGAAACCATATAATGTAATAGCCTATATTACAAGGATTTCTGAAGGATCATGTGACACTGAAGGCTGGAGTGATGAAAATTTTGCTTTGCATCTCAGAAATAAATTATATTTTAAAGTATATTAAAATAGAAAACCACTATTTTAAATTCACAATATTTCTGTTACTGCTTGTTTTTCCAGATATTACTGTTTTTTCTGCATTTTTTATATAAAAAGGCAGATACTTTAAAAAAAAAAACATTTAAAATAGTAATGTTTCAAAACTTTTGAACTGTAGTGTATATTATGATTTTTTTTTTTCAATTAATTTTTTAATTATTATTATTTGAATTTATTATCGTCCCTGGTTCAATAAGGTAGGCTACTCTTGTAAGGAAGTAGCAGTGTCTGGGACTCCGCAGCTCCGCTTCAAAAAATGCAATCTAAAGGTAACATGCACGTCAGTGGTGGATATATTCGATTTCAAATAAGATTTAATAACCAACTTAATGATAGTTTGAACTGTAAGATGCCATATACAGACGACGTGTATTAGCATAATTTAGCAGATCATCCTGCGGGCCAGGCGGAAGAAGCTTGTCCCCGCCCCCTTCGGTGAAATGCTTGTCGCTGGTTCCTATCTACCGGTTTAATTCGGGCTGCTAGCATGCAGCTAGCTTTCCCGATCGAAGCGACTTCTTAAATTACGCTTCCGTAGCTCACTCGACGTCTAAAGGCCCGGATAAGTCACTTCATCGTTGCATACAGAGTGCAAATGTTTTAAGTGCACGAGCGATCTTCGATACATTTAATATCGATCTGGTTAATTGCAGGAAAGTATTGCTGTTCGTAGCTAGATTTGCTTATATATTTAGCAGCATAATTCTATATCAGTGATCAGTGAGTAACGTTAATATGCGCTTGAAATCATGATCAGGGCGTCAAGGTGTTTGTTGTAGGGCACCGGGTTTCGATCCGGAAAGGACCGAGCATTTCTAGACGACTGCTGTCTGAGAAAAAGCTTCGTCTTTGTGTGTTGTGGATCCGACAGAAACGCGCAGCAGCCGGAGTTCCAGCAACACATCGGAGGTAAGGTGACCTCTAGCAGGCCTGTTTAACAGCGTAGTGTGATTATGATCCGGATAGTCCCTGCTAGGCTCCAGTTTTGATCAAATGTTTACAAGATAAAACTCCGCATGTTTGCGTAGTTCAGTAAGATGCAGTAGTATGGCGTAAGCACTATAATCGGATATCAGCAATGATGCCGGATCAAAACACGTTCGTCACTTAAGAAATTAAGCTAATATAACGTTAATCTTTAACCGTATCTAAGATAATATAATCGTTTACTGTACTGTGTGTATAGTTGTTTCTAAGCTGCTTTTCATATATTTAGAGGGGAGACTGAGAAATGTGGGTGTAATGAGTTCATGTTGTTACATTAGCTACTGATCTCTGAATTAATGAGCTTTCACCGGAAAAGGCTCATGTCCCGCCAATTTACAAACCTCATAATAAGAAAGGCAGCCGATGCCGACTGATGTAACGTATTATTTCATAGGCTGCATCTCACGTTTTCATAACTCCTTCACGTGCTGAGTGGAGATCGATAACTACGACGACTGACAACGTCATATAAGTTTACGTTTGGTGCAGTGGGTGGTTAAAGGCCCCCTGAAATCAAAAGTTTTTTTTTTTTTTTTTTGCTTTTAGTATGAATATGTTAGCCTTAAGGTTATGAATAAGCTTAGGTGATCCAAATCAATGACAATTTTGCATTTAGGAGATATAAGCATCAAAAACTTACAGAGTCCTCACTTCCGCTGATTTCACTGATTTTTATGACATCATGCGGACTTCAGCTTCTCATCACATCAAAATTTCACTTTCATAATTTATTTCACGTCAACAATAATCTGGCAAATGTCTTCTTTAAAACAAGACCAACCATAGGTCTATATTCCAAAGCAGTGGCGGCTCCTGCAAAATCTCTCAGGGGGGGGCAAATGTTTGGATGATTGATAAGGATAAGGTCCAACCATGCAATGGATAAATTAACAGCTTAAGCATGTAAAGGCAACTTCACTACTTTAAGATTGTGTCGCAGACCTGACAAAATAAATACATTTATTTTAGTTATAAAATAATTTATTTATTATAATATAAATATAGAGATACAAGGTTTCCATCCCGACAGCAACAATGTATCAGGCAGAATCCATATTGAATTATCTCCCATTTAAAAAAAATAAAAATTAATGCTATTGGTCACCCTTTACATCTGTCAATGTGTTTTACAAATATTTTACCAACGGAAAGCATTAAAAGATCTTGGAAATTATTTTGGGAAAAGTTATTTTATTATTTCCTGAAAAGTAACAGTTTTGGACATACACGATTGTGTGGGTGTTCGAATGGAAATGTACAAATTTCAAAGTACAATGCTAGGAGTAAAAAAGACTGCTACCATCCTTTCCTAAACTGATTGTAAAAACAAAGTGAGATTTTCCAACACTCGAGTATTAAAATGTTCAGCAATACCTCTTTAGACAGCCTCTGCTTGTCTTCTTCTCCCAAGGCCCTCCTAGATCTTGTTGTTCCTGTTGCTACTTGCTCCTGCTCAATGTATGCTGATTACTACGACGGGCTGACTGGTATTTATTTTAATGACACGATTATGACTGCGTTCGCCATGACGTTGTTCAAGTTCAGCTGGCCTCAACTCGCGAGTCGCGAGATGTCCCAACAGTCTCTCTCGCTCTCGCTCTCGCTCATTTTTATTTTTATTTTTTTAATCACATTTGATAAATATATTATATAGTAGTGTTTCATTTTTTCTTGTTATTCAAATTCAAAATTGTTTTTTAATATTATTTGTCACTTAATCTTAAAGATATTTAATAGTGTAGGCTCCCACCAATCGCTGCACAAGTTAAGGGTACGTATGATGACGTAAGCACGTTAGTGCGAGCCCTCCCGGAACCCATAGAGAATGCATTGCAGTGCCTCCAGTTTGAAAAAAAAACATCTTTGAATGGAAGTCTATGGGAACACTCGGGGCGATTCTCAGCCAGAGTGAAATCGCCCAAAAAGAGGCGGTACTCCACAGAACGCGACATGACGCTGATTGGAGTATAGCACTATAGTGACGGCTAGCGTAACTCTGTGGTTGAATGAGATTGTGAATGTGATTGAAAAAGTCACTTTCGCACTTTGGTGGTGCGTCGCCCAATCGCCCTAATGAAGAAACCGCCCCTGTTCCAAAGCATTCTTGAATTACAACCATTTAAGTTTGGATAGTGATTTTCATGTCTATGCAGGAAAAAAAGGGGAGGGTGGCAGTTAAAGGGTTAATTTAGTGATAACAATGAATTAATAAAGCGGTCATTTGCCAGGTTAGGTGTTCATATTTATCTGGAAATTTGCGATTTAAAAAGCCCATTTCATCTTGACTCAATTTCGACCACATACATAACGTTAGCTAACTGTTACTGCGGTTATGAGATAGCTTACATTAACGTTACAGCACTGACGTTAGCTCACTTTGACGTTAATAAAAAACCTTTCCTACTTTACCTCTCTGGATCTTTGGAGAATCTATGAAATGCTACTGTATTGTTTGTACACTGATAGTTGTTGCAGTTGATGGCAGAACACTGTTTTCTTTGTTTCCAAATATTTCCAGACATAATTGGATACAATCATAGACGGATACAATGTATAGTTGTGATAACGGTATTACCATAGACAGTATAAGAAATGGACAGAGCCATCTCATTGGAACTCAGTTGAGACAGTTGAAGCCCATTTTTAGCGATTTCTGAGCACTTCCGTTCCTGACGCGCAGACTCAAACCGACTCAAACTAAGCTTGATGACGTGAGCAACCTGTCTGACAGACGTTAATCTTCTAGTAGCTGTGCGTGAAAATTGCCACCGTTAATCTTGCAGAGACGGGGAACTTGAGCAAAGAGTTCTTTGGCATGAGTGAGCAGGAGTAAGTATTCCGTTGCTTTTATGGACTCATTATCTATGGGCTTCTCCCTTGACGGGACGTCCCCCCGATTGCCTGCGAGTTTCTCCTCCTGTCTGTGCGGTAATTTCTGTACAGCGCGACAGAGAGTCGAGTGGTTATGACGCAATCGTTAGCCTATTTTTACTAAAACTGTTTCTACGGGGCCATAATGTAACATAGAAGGTAATGGAGCTCTTTATACATTGTCGTGTTTCTCTAGAAATAAATAATGGACAAATGGAGTCTTTAAACGCCTCAGATGTAAAGTTATTCGCTGTCAAAGTGACGCCAAAATGAATGGGAGTCAATGGAAATGCTAACGCAAGTGAAGTTCTGCTACAACATGGCGGCACCCGGCCGGCTTCAACTTCCGGTCGATGGATTACCCCCTTGGGTATTACGGTAAAGCCGTTGGTTCAGTCCAAAATGGCGTCAGCGCGACAGCAGCGCCATCTAGCGATTGTTACCAAAACTGCAACGGAGTTTCGCCTCTTGTTACTTCTATACTCTTTGGTGCAGGTCTCTACATCCATAGACATAATAAATACATAGGCTAGACGCCCTATTGGCCGCTTTGGAACGTTGCTGCGATACGTCAACGGGTCCGCCATTTTGCGGAGGGCAAGACTGCGCTGTGAACAAATGTAAGTAAACGGGGGAGCTGCGTTTTTTCTGGATAAAAACAAACTGTTTTTACATTTATCAACCGATTTCAGTGGTTTGTATGTGGTGTACAAAAAGTTCCATCTCTAGTTATTTAAAATCTCGATAGTTAGACTTGTAAAATATTTTTTTTAATAAAGAATGGTCAATTAAGCTCAGGCTTGTCATGTATCTGGCTTTTTGTTCTTGGATAAGAATGGTGAAGACCCCCATACTGAGATATAATTTAAGTTTTCTTATTGTGGAAAAAGCATTTTCTGTGATTGACCAGCTTTTAGCAATAACAAAGATAATTGATGGATCCTTTATAATAATACGTTATGGTACAACTACAGTGCAATGCAAATAGTAAATATAACATAAAGTGAGAAGTAATAGTAAATAGTTTAGTCAATAAAATAAACAAATAGTATACAGCAAATAAAATAGTAATGATTAGTATAATTATATAATATCATACGTACAATAATAAAATCATAAAAATATTGATAATAGCATTTATTAATAATACTATAATAATAGCAATAGAATAAGAAATATAAATTACAGAATATACACAATAAAAATTAAGTTAAATAGTGACTTTAATATTTAACTCTTTTTGTTAAATTTCAGTTTTATTGATCAGTAATAGCCATTATAACAGAAGTAGCTTCAGTCAAACATACAGCAGGATACAACGTTAAAATAGCTTAAATATAAAGTTATGAAACTTCACTTTGCCCTCAGCCAAAACGATTTACCAGGGAACCATTTATAGATTAATGAGACCAAAGATCGCCCGTTAAATATACACAAGACGAATTATATCTCATGTTTAACCACTAGACTACAGACATCCGAGTCAGCGGCAAAACTTCAGAAGCACTGGCCGAGGTACGGCTGTTCCAGGCGGGGTAGACGAGCGCTGAGCGCATCTTACAACTCCGAAAACGTCAGATCAAATTTTTAAATAGGCGCTATCTTTATAAACAAACCACATATTTGAGCTTTAAACAACTACATTGTCAACTGAAAAGCTATTTAAACTACATTTCGTGACACAATAACAGTAGTATTTTTAAATGTATCCTCTGAACGTAATTAAATTTTGACCAAATACAACCAAAAACAAACGTTCAGTCTTGCTTGTGAAAGGTAATTCCTCGAAAGCTGTTTTCAATTGTTGGGCGACGTGTACAGCCCCAAACAGCGCACAAAACATGCATTTTTCTCAATTCCCGGTATGAGAGGTATGGGAAAGTTGCCATCCCCAACATGGCGGCGCCGTTGACGTACACTCCAGCGGCCAATAGGGCGTCTATGTATTTATTATGTCTATGTCTACATCCATTGACTGAACACGAACAGCATTTTCTCAACATGTTTCCGTGTTGTTGTTGCTCGGCAACGATGTTGTCTGGGGTTGGGCAAAAGGAGGGAGGGATGGTGGGCAGTGCATGGGGTGGTGACTCAAGGCGGTGACTGAGTAGTTCTGACATCACATTTTTACGGAAGTCACAACGGCTCATGAAAAGGCACAGCTACTTTATGCAGGCTGTGTGCATTTGCCTGTGGATTGACTGTTTTGAAACGTATATGGTAGTTACATAGCACCTAGACCTCTGCTATCATGAAAAAAAGCCAGGAAATGAAATTTTTGACAATATGGGACCTTTAAAGACTTCCTGCGGTTTTCACCCAAAATAAAAAAGCTGTTTTAGCGTTTGAAAGCAAAAAAAAATTGTTTAGTAATTAAGTGTTAGTGCTGTAATTTTACATTTGTTCTATAAAATATTATTATTGTTATTATTATTCAATACTGTTGTTAAAAACGAATATATATTTTTTCTCTGATGTAGATATCTCCCTCTACCTCACGCTTCCTTTTCTCTAAATCCCAACATCCTCCAAGACAGCTGAACACCGGGGCGTGCTGTAAAAGCTGTGACTCAGCATGGTAGAGGAATAACCTTAATTGCAAAGTATTCTGGGAACAGGCCATTGCAGAAAGGAACCTTTACGCTTTGACATCAGTAAGCTGGTTGAAAACTCATGGGATACGAACATGTCGGAGGCTGGAGAGCGTCGGCCAGTCAACGCAGATTATGCAGTTTCTGTGCTGGAACAGCTGAAGTATTTCTACGAGCAGAAGTTGTTGACTGACATCACTCTGCTGGTGGAGGAGAATGAGTTCCCCTGCCATAAGATGGTGCTGGCCACCTGCAGCTCTTACTTCAGGTGGGTAGAGCTGGGCTTTGTGAATACACAGTAATAATTTGTTACATTTATATAGGCTACTCTCCAGATTAACTCATGTTTCTGTTAAAGGGTGAAGATCATCCTTTATGCCTCTCATGCCAGAATTCATTATTACTGAAGCATTTTTTGATGGACTGTGATAGATTGAACTTTCCGTTATTTTTTTATTTGACTCTTATGAAAATATTTTTAATGAAGTAAGACCAGGGGCCGTTTATTTTAAGCCACTCAGAGTAAAATTTTAGTCTTAAATCTGTCAAAATTCTAAGAATGATGTAATTTTACTCTTATTCCTAGACTTAAGAATAAGTGTGATTCATAAAGGTTCCTAAGTGTTAAGACTAGGTCTCAGCTCCTAAATTATTTAAGAGAGCTGAAGAGGTCTCCTAACCTAGTTAGGAGTTACAAGATGGCAGCAGAGAGGAGGAGGTCGTGCACTTTTCAACGAAAATATGATGTATTGGGGTTAAATGATGATGGAGTTGATCAAACGATAAAAGTTTGATCATCAAGGTATTCTTTTTGTAACTGACCTTTAAGAAATTTTATAGCAATTATATGAAAGGAAAGTAATAATTACATTGTTGTCGACTGGAAAAAAGCAGCAGTGCACCGGTGATGATTTGAGCTCATCCGTCCACAAAGCAGGGTCTTGATAGCACTATTGTGGCACTGACCACACCAAATACAGTAGTGGCTAAAAGTGATGTGCGGAGTTATTATTATTTTTATTTTTTAATGACCCTACAAGTTTGCTTAAACCATCAAAATATGAGTAAAATAGTGTTTTGTTGTTCCCTCATATTTTAAAATATTTAAAATATATAAATATAAAAATAAACTTAGTGAAGATATTTATCTGACAAAATTATTTCAAGTCAAGTCGCTTTTTACATTACAGATTGTTTCAAAGCAGCTTTACTGTGATAACAGGAAAATAATGCAACAAAGTTAGTTTTGGCTGTACAGCAGCTCTAAAAGGAAATAGTGTCATTTGTCCAGCTGAAGTAAGTCAATGATGATTCATTTCCATTGTAAAAAATCATTAGTTATCTATTTAGTTCATTAAATAGCCGCTCTGGAACAGTGATGTCATCGTTCAGCTCAGTTCAGTTCTCAGACAATGGTGTCAATGCAGGCAGATCAATAATATTGTTGAAAAAAGGGCAAACTACAGCAACAGGTTTAAAAAACCCCAGAAAAAGCTCACAGGGGAAAAAAAAATCATACATTGTCTTAAACATAGTCAGTTATTAATATTTCATTGTACTCTCTTGTTCATTTGTTTGACAGCCTGGCTAAAAATTATATCTGTACAATTTGGCATGTTTCATTGTGTTATCACAAATAAACAATTGACTCCAAGCACATCACAATACGCGTTAAAAATCTTTAACACATTTTTAATACTATTTGAATAAAGGGTAAATCTGTAAATTTTCCTTTGCCTCACTTTTGGCCACTATTGTGGCAGTTGATTGACTTTCCAATTGATCTTCAAATCTCGCAGCAAAATAAAGCCACTTTTATGAGACTTTCGGGCTTTCCTGAGTTGTTGGATCCATTGATGGAACTCATGTTTGCATAATTGCTCAAACTGTAAATGAGACGACACACATCAATAGAAAAGGATTCCACAGCATAAATACTAATTTGTGATAATTTTGCACAATGCAAAGCATTTAAAAAAAAAAAAAAAAAGTAAATATTAAAGCTTCATTGTCTTAATTAAATGATTTTATTATAATTAGATTAAATGATTGGTGTCATGCTGCAGTGACCTCACCCTTGTAGGCTCACTATTGGCTGATTCAGTGGTTGAGGGCGGGCATTTTGGGTTGACATCACTGTAGTCCTTAGTTCACAGCACTTAAGTGCCACTTCAGTCAGCACTTAAAGGATTAGTTCACTTTTAAAAAAACTTTTGCTGATAATTTACTCACCCCCATGTCATCCAAGATGTCCATGTCTTTCTTTCTTCAGTCGAAAAGAAATTAAGGTTTTTGATGAAAACATTCCAGGATTTTTCTCCATATAATGGACTTCCATGGGAACCAGACGGTTCAAGGTCCAAAAGACAGTTTCAGTGCAGCTTCAAAGGGCTTTAAACGACACCAGACGATGAATAAGGGTCTTATCTAGCGAAACGATCGGTCATTTAAAAAATAAATAGAAAAGTTGAAGTTTAAAAAGCACAAATGATACACGTTCGTGACTCTCCTGTTCGAACTCGTTCATCAAAATGAACAAATCTTTTTTCGAGTCATTTCGTTCATTCAACTAACGAAATGAACGAAATGACTCGAAAAAAGATTCGTTTCGCTAGATAAGACCCTTATTCATCGTCTGGTATCGTTTAAAGCCCTTTGAAGCTGCACTGAAACTGTCTTTTGGACCTTGAACTGTCTGGTTCCCATGGAAGTCCATTATATGGAGAAAAATCCTGGAATGTTTTCATCAAAAACCTTAATTTCTTTTCGACTGAAGAAAGAAAGACATGGACATCTTGGATGACATGGGGGTGAGTAAATTATCAGCAAAAGTTTTTTTAAAAGTGAACTACTCCTTTAAGAATCAGTCTTAGACTTTACTGAAAGTTGAAAGTTCTTTATAAAAGTCTCCTACTCATAGAGAAGTCCTACTTTTTACTAAGAATTTTTTGACACTTAAAGCTGCAGTCTGCAGTTTTTCCTCTTTGTCGCCATCTCTGTTCGAAATCTGCAATTGCAGTCATTCGCGGAATTATCAACTTTACGTGAGTTGTACTTCAACACCCTCGACACGGCACAGCGCGGATGAATCCAATGTTTGAGGAGAGTGTGAGGCTGTCAGTCACCGCGCCGGTGTGGATACTGGCATTCAGAATCACAGATTATTCTTTTTGGAACTATGACCAACATAAGAATTTTCACCGGAAAATGTCATCTGAACTAGTAAGAAACATCCACTTTTGTTCTGGTTCTGACATTGCAGTAAATCACGCTGATTAAATCTAACAATCGCTTATAAGTTATCATATCACGCAAAACCGTGCAAATAATACTTTGTTCTCAAATTGTTAATGTTAACAACGTAAGCAAGCATTGCGTGACTACATGTAATGTCCTTCCGATATGTATCCTTGTTTTTGCATGGGTCCGGTTACAGTCTCTTTTTTTTCTGTAGCCACTCCGAAGTCCGAACGAAGTCTTTTGCATTTTACAGCGGGTGAATCTGTTGTCACTGGTGATTGTCGTTTGAACCTTTCTGGATCCGCCATCAAATTGATAAGTTTAATTATATCAAGTGCTGTGAGAAAAGGCTATAAATCTCCACCTCAACAGCAGATGGAGATTATGCTCGGTAATCTACTACTTTTCCTGCAGCTCCTGGATGTCAACGTTGAATTTACTGTCGAATTTGAACCACTGAATTTGTGGAAGCGAATTTGAAAGCGAAATAAAATGGACCGAAACCCGCCTGTTGAATATTATAGGTTGTATTTTTAATCAGTTTGAATATTTTGTAAGTGAAATATGAAAGGTGAAAATGGATTATTGAAATTTTACTAATGAAAATGTGTTTGAAATGTTTTGAATTGAAATATTCACAGCCTTAATATTCAACCATGCTAAATTTCAGCCCATAAAAATGCAAGCCCTAAAAATACAATGCATTAAAATACAAGCAGGGTTAATGCAATGCATATTTTTTTCAAGTAGTACAATTCAATGTTATGTATTTTCTCAAATATGTATTTTGGATAATTTTTAACCCAAAGAAAGCTACGGACTGCAGCTTTAAGTCAAAGTTTAAGACTATTCTTAAAAGCATTTCTTAGAAGTTTTATACATACGGGCACATATCTAGTTTTAGAATTTTTTATCTAAGATAAAGTTTAAAAACCTATTTTAATCGCTTTTTTTAATATTTTTTTTTATTTTTTTAATCTTTCTCACCATGAAAATAGCCGAGGTAGCTGGCATGGTGTTAAACTGTAAACAAACAAACAAAAAAGAAAGCTTTAGAATTTGTGTATGTATAAAAATGTTACAAAAATGTGAAATTCTTTAAAATTCTGCTTTTTACAGGTAATTCCATTTTCAATTATGCTATTTCACAATTTTGAGTTTTATGCATCACAGAAATGTTGCTCTAGTCTAAATACAAAAATAAAGACAATGTTTTTGCTAATCAGCTCTCATCAGCCTCAGTTAACCTTAGACTAGTGTTGTCACAGTACCAAAATTCCAGTAGTCGGTCCAATGGCAGTTAAATTTCACGGTTCTCGGTACAAATTATGGTACCATAGCAAAAACTGTTGAAACTATTTTATTTAACTGTTTCAAAATAAAAATATTAATTAAATTAGATTATTTATGATGATGATGATAATTTAAGTAAAGAAAATATTTAACATTTAAAAAAAAATTTCCCCATAACAGATTTTGTAATCATTTGGTAATTTTAGATTTTACAACAAAAGGGGCAGGTTTTGAAAGGATTTATAACAGTGCTGTACTGTTTTCAGAAGCAGAAAATACTACTACTTATTTTTTAAAAAAAATTTTTTATGCTTTGTTTAGCTTCCTTCTCATTTTAGAAAGTTCTGTTACTAATTCAATGATTAATTGTTGTTTAATTCTTCAAAATTTATCTCACAACCAACTATTATCATTAAATGTATAGAAAATTGTTGTTTTATATCTGTTTGGGGCAGGGATTAAAATGGTTCAAAGAACCAATTTATTCATTTCAGAATTTAATTAAAAAAATGTTTTATAAGTAAGGAATAATTGATGATGGGACTTTGAATTATTAAAGTACTCAGGTCTGCATTATTTATCTAATATTACAACGGCCCTGGGTCAATTATTCCGCTTATACTATGGTTACCACAGCTCATGAAATTGTGGGTTTTTGTCCTTAAACTCACTTGTGTAATAATTTCTTATGCATCTCATCCCAAGCCTCCTTTGCCAACTCCAAAACATAATTTTAAAGATGGTAACAGAGGCTTGATCATTTGATATGCTGTTATTGGAGTGAAGACATTGATAGATTACTTAAGTGTGTGTGAATAACCTCAGGCTCAGTCTGTGCGTCTCTCAACAGTGTGCGGCAGCAGCGTCTCTATTAAAGTCTAGGGCTGTGCATTGACACAAATTTCATGATTCGATTCTAATTTGATTAACAAACTGGTAATTTACATCTTGGTGAACATCGCTAACTACTAGGCTATAGTGCAATCCTTTTTTTAATTGATTAAAGATTTAGAGAATCTTAAAAGATACAGTTTATTACCGTGAACAAAAGTAATATTGTTTGTTTTGATGAGAAATATAAAAACTAAATAAAAAAACAGCAGCCAATGCTTGCAAAGATATCTTTATAAGTTTATTTTTTGTTTTAGCCATGTTGCTTCCACATTTGTTGTAAGGTAAGATGCATCACATTTGCATAGAAATACATATAGAAAACACCCCATTGCAAAAAACAAACAAACTTTTGAATGGAGCCTCATCAATATCGCACAGAAGCACTGAATTAAACTAACTCTGAAGTGGGATGTGTTCTGAGAATAAGTTGCTATGGCTAATTAATAAACCTGAAAGTTGCCTCAATTTTTGGAACTGAGAGTTGAGTTTACCGTTTATCATAGGCAGAGAGTGTGTAAGGCAGCTTTTTAGTTACTATAAAGTGAACACTTTCTAGGGGATATATAGTCCATTCAGAATTTGAATAAAACTTTTGTTTTTCATGCTTGACCAGCTGCCACATACACTGCAAACTTTCAGGAGTGGCATGGCATCCGCAATAGTTACTTATTATTCGTATTGGCTGCCATGCCAAATCATGCATACAGTAATGCTTGCTTTTCTGTTATAAGTTTGAGAACGTACTCACTTTAATAAATAATTTATAGGGTGCGGTTATGCTCCTAATAAATTATATTTATATGTTAACATTTAAATTTAACACATCAGCAGGGCTCAACACTAAGGTTTTTCTACTGGCCTGGTCAAACCAGTGGTTAAAATATTTACTTGCCCTGCCAATATTTTCACTGGCCCTTTAATCGAACTTTAATCGATGAGTCAAGTTTTTTCCATATGAAATGTAGTTATTTGTTTTGACCTGTGTTGTTTTTTGTTTGTGTTGCTCTAGGGCCATGTTTATGAGCGGGCTCAGTGAGAGCAAACAGACCCATGTTCATCTTAGAAACGTTGACCCCATCACACTGCAGACCATCATAACATATGCTTACACCGGCAACTTGGTCATCAACGACACCACTGTGGAACCTCTCTACGAGACGGCCTGTTTTCTTCAGGTTAGAAAGACATGCACACAACACAGTCTTCCACAGGTTAATTCGTTAAATATATCCGTTTACACGCACAATGCTCACACTGACTTGTTTTAACAAGTTTTCCATTTGCTTCAATCACAAAACCTTTGGGTCACATATTACCGGCGTCACAACATGCCATTGTTGCAGACTTTGAGCAGCATTGTGCATTGTGTACCAATTTTTTTTTTCAGAATTAGCCAAAAGGAGCTTTTCAATAAATGTTTCTTACTAAAACCAACTACTTTTTAGAAGCGGGCCAGTTACAGAATCTCAATATCTACAATACAGTTTCAATTTTTATGTCTACTTATTTCTTTCTTTCATTGATTTCCTCTCAGGTGGAAGATGTTTTACTGCAGTGTCGAGAATATTTGGTTAAGAAAATCACTGCTGAAAACTGCGTCCGCATGCTAAGCATCGGTGACCTGTTCAGTTGCACAGAGTTGAAGCAAAGTGCTAAGCGCATGGTGGAGCACAAATTCTCTGTCGTCTACAGACAGGAAGCTTTCCTGCAGCTCTCGCACGAGCTCTTGCTGGACCTCCTGAGCAGCGATAATCTCAACGTGGAGAAAGAGGAAACGGTACGTGAGGCGGCCATGCTGTGGCTGGAATACAACATGGAAGCACGTTCTCAGTATCTATCCTCCGTCCTCAGCCAGATTCGAATTGATGCGCTTTCTGAGGTGACCCAACGTGCCTGGTTCCAAGGTCTTCCACCGAATGACAAATCAGTGGTAGTGCAAGGCCTGTACAAGTCAATGCCAAAGTTTTTCAAGCCCAGACTGGGCATGACCAAGGAAGAAATGCTGATTTTTGTAGAGGCCGAACCGCCAGCTGAAAGCCACCCCGTCGTAATAGGTCCACGTCACACAGTGGTCTGTTATAGTCCTCAAGCGGAGAAAGTCTATAAACTGTGTAGCCTGCCTGGAGACTTGCAGAAGGTTGGGACATTGGTCACCCCAGACAATGATGTCTACATTGCCGGTGGACAGATACCACTGAAGAGTGCGCTAGCTACCCACGGCAGCAAAAGCGGAAAGCTGCAGGCTGCCTATTGTTCAGTGGACACCTTCTACTGGCTGGATGCCCAGCAGAATGCATGGGTGGCTAAAACGCCCATGCTTTACGCTCGCACTAAACCGTCACTGGTGTATTGTCAGGGTTTCATCTACGCTATTGGCGGTGATAACGTGGGCGGCGAGTTGAATAAACGCACAGTGGAGCGATACGATTGCGAGCAGGATGAATGGAGCGTGACCAGCCCTCTTCCCTGCGCGTGGAGTTGGAGCACAGCGGTAACAGCCCGGGACTGCATTTACGTCATGACACACGACCTCATGTACTGCTACTTCCCTCGTGCTGACACTTGGGTGGAAATGGCCATGCGGCAGACTAGTCGTTGCTTTGCTTCCGCTGCTGCGTTAGGAGATCTCCTCTTCTATATCGGTGGTCTACATGTGGTGGGCAACTCGGGTTTGCGTTTGCCGACGAGCACTATTGATGGCTCCTCTGTTACGGTAGAGATATACGATGTCAACAAAAATGAATGGCGTCTAGCTGCCAACATCCCAGCCAAGCGGTACTCTGACCCCTGTGTGCGTGCCGTGGTGCTACTGAATACGCTATGCATCTTCATACGTGAGACGCACCTAAACGAACGGGCAAAGTATGCTCTGTATCAGTACGACCTGGAGCTCGATTGCTGGTCCTTGCGGCAGCCTGTGTCGGAGCGTGTGCTCTGGGACCTCGGCAAAGATTTCCGCTGTGCCGTGGGTAAATTATACCCGTCCTGCCTTGATGAATCGCCCTGGAAGCCACCCACTTACCTCTTCTCACCTGATGGAGCTGAGGAGTTTGAGGTGGATGAGGACATGGTGTTACTGCCTCATGTATAGTTAATGGCATCATCTTTGAAACTTGTCCTGTAATTTATCCACTGTTCTGATAGGTGATTGAGCCGATGGGCGGACTTCCCTTAATGCCTAATGTGCTCATGGAGAACAAATATTTAATTGGAATCTGTTAATTGGAATTTTTTTTAATTTTGACCCACCTCAGACATGTGTAGTTTTGATTTTCTCATAGCAAGTTTGAGAACTTCGAGAATATTTCATTTATGTCACCATTACAAGTTTGGTATTCTGTTTTGGCATTTCTGTTTTGGCATACTGTTTAATTTGATGGGGTAAATGGATCATGATGCAATTAAATCTCCTTTGGTGGAAAATGACAACTGTACACCCGACTTATTAAATTTATCACTGTTCTTTTGTCTGGTTCATTTTCCAGAAATGTATTGCTCACCTTTCTCCCAAATGTCAGCAGGGTACAGTAGGGTCAAGGGTTTGGTGAGATATTTTGTACTGAATGTTATTTGATGTTTTGGTTTGCTGCTGGTTTGGTGACTTGCTTGGCATTGATGTTGTTGTCATCTGTATCATCATAGTTCACATGTTATATACAAACATACATACATAAGCATGCATTCATAGTGTTTCTTATTAATTACCTACACTGTTGTGGCTCGCCATAGTCTTATCTGTGCCGCCACAGCTTCATAATGAACCGAAGATATTTAAAAACTTCTCATAATAACATAAAAGGTTGCTATTGTTGATTTGCGCCATTGCTTTGGCAACATATCTGTCAGACGAACTAAAATCAAAAGCTCAACTGCAATTTCCGTCAAACTAAAAGCACAAGGGTTTAAATCTATTTCAAGTGTAGTACAGTACAAAAGTATTGTATTTTCCCTTCTGTAGCGTAAAGTAAAATAATATACATGTGAAATCTTGTGCATTTGTTTTAAAATATATTACTATTACAGTCATACGAATAATAATAATACAAAATTACTATTATATTCTAATTGTTTGGCTTCCTAAAACACTAGTGTGAACGTAATGTAGATTGAGGCACTAAAAAGAGGTTTGAGTTCCCTTTGATGTTCAGGTACAAAATGCACAGACTCTTTTCTTAGTTCAATTTTCACATTGAACATGGGTTGGAGCTCTTTGAACTGTGCACCACATTGATTTTAACTTGAAAATGTAAAAAAATTTTTTACGGGGCAACCCTAAAGGGACCGATGTCCAACCACCATAGTCTCAGTAAATCCGAAACTCCCTTTTTCAAGATACTGTATTAAAGATAATTTTGTAAAATGGAAGTAAGCTTTACAGATTTACATTATTTGAAAGGGTTTAAACCATGTTGTTTATGCTCAATGTTCAATGAAACAATCATTGCACATGCATCTGTGGAACAGTCCTTAAGACACTAACAGTTTACAGTTGGTATACAGTTAAGGTCACAATTCCAGTAACTTAGGGCACTAAAGAGAAACTCAATTGGAATCTACTGACTCTGAAAAACACCAAGATGCCCAGGGTTTCTGATCACCTGCATGGAGGCATGAGGACTGCAGATGTGGCCAGAGCCATAAACTGCAGTGTATGTAATGTAAGACACCTAAAACAGTGCTACAGGAAGGACAGCTGATCGTCCTTGCAGTGGCAGTCCCAGACGTGTTCGAGAATTTGCAAGTCCCTTGGTGGAAGGAGTGGAGTAACATCTCACGGCAAGAACTGGCAAATCTGGTGCAGTCAATGAGGATGAGATGCACTGTACACTTTACGCAGCTGATGGCCACACCAGATACTGACTGTTACTTTTGATATTGACTCCCCGCCCCATCTTTGTTCAAGGACTCATTATTCCACTTCTGTTTATATGTCTGTGAAATTTGTTCAGTTTATGTCTCGGTTGTTGTGTCTTTTTATGTACATACAAATATTTACATATTGTTCTGGGGAAAAAACTGTTGAAAGTGAGGATGTTTCTTCTATACACACACACACACACACACACACACACACACACACACACACACACACACACACACACACTGCCATTCAAAGGTTTGGGATCGGTAAGATTTTTAAGGTTTTTAAAAGAAGCCTCTTATGCTCACCAAGGCTGCATTTATTTGATTAAAAATACAACAAAAAACTGATATTGTTAAATATTATTACAATTTAAAATAACTGTTTTCTATGTGAATAGATTGCAAAATGTAATTTATTCCTGTTATCAAAGCTGAATTCTCAGCATAATTTCTCCAGTTTTAGTGTCACATGAACCTTCAGAAATCATTCTAACATGATGATTTGCTGCTCATATATGTATGTGTGTATATATATATATATATATATATATATGTGTGTGTGTGTGTGTATATGTATGTGTAATTTATTTTTTTAATTATTTTTTTTTGCTGTTATTGTTTAATAGTGTGTACAAAAATGTTTTTTTTTTTTCCTGCTAGATTGAACCCTCACTTTAGGTTATTATTATTTCATACTACTGTTTTTAATAACTTGTTATAAAAGAATATTGCCGACTCTTTCTTTTGCTTGGGACATTCATGTGAGTATGGGCCCAAAACATCAGGTTCACATGGATGGCCGTTTCCTGAGAGCTTTGTGTTTTTTTCAATGAATGGTAATATATTATTTTAAAAAGAAAGAAACCTGAGTCAATACGAGTTGTAAGCTCGCATCATTTATTTTTTATTTTTTTAATGTGTTAATTCAAGCTTGTGTACCTTGAAGCATTTGTGTTCAACAAAAGAAGTTTGCATGAACTGATTTTCTGCATATTTATATTATTTTGGGCCCAGTCTTCGACTGCTGACAGCTGACAATTTCCTCCTGGTGTGGCTGCGCTTTTACCAGTTTTAAAATAGGAAATATGTAATTACCTATTTATTAGAGAAAGAAAAAAAACATTTATAAAGTCTCTTGTTCTAAAACCTGATGGCTGCATTAAGTGATTGTATATGCACAGTTGCTTGACAGATATGAGTACACACCTTGCCCGCCTCCAAAAAACTATTTTAAAACAGTAAAATACATTACAAATCATTGTTTTCCAGTTAATTAATCAGATCACATATAACATCAATTAAAAAAAACGTTTTTATATAAAATGTATATTTATTTGCAACAGTTATGTTAACAGCAATAATAAGACATTTCGGTTTATAAGAACAGCTAATCGGTTGTTGGACACTGTACTGTGTTGTCATGGTGAAGATAATGAGGAAATTAAGTTGTCTTTCGTTGCTCCCCTCGCCCAGTGCGTTCCAAACGGCAACATAATGGCAAACAAGTGCCCTGCTCCCTCCAAAGTCCCAACTTCAAGGGCTCTGCACTTTGAAGGGAGTAGGGCATAGGGACGCTCACTTCTGTTTGGAATTTGCCCATAATAGACTGATAGTATACAGAGATCATACTAGCCTTACTAATAGAGATATTAAACACAATTTAAGGCTTAATATAAAGACATGTGCATTGTGCAAAAAAGTAGGCTACTCCAAATAAAGTTTAATTATAATTATATTAAGTATAAGTCTCAAGCCATATGTAAATAGATTTGTAGTATACTTAGTTGAAATGAATTTTAAATACATTTTGGTATAGGTTTTTTTCACAACGGTGGGCATTGCGTTCATAAATTCAACATATGTATGTGACTGGCTACATTGCTCAACACAGAAAAAAATGTTGTAAATAGAAACCTTTGATGCACTCAAGAGCCTAATCACCAAATTTGTTTCGCCAATATGCTATTATTACAGAGAAAACTGATCTTTGACCAGCAGTTATGGGCAGATTTTCCCTCTAAAAACAATCAGAAGTAGCACCAGTCAGTGGTTTGAGTGAGAAAATTCTATGCTAGTCTCGAGCCCGTGGCAGGGGAAGGCCCAGCCTTACACATGCTCCACCTATGGAAATAGCATTAGGTGTGTTCGACTTCATGCGGTGTATGACATCAAAGTACCACGAGAGCGATTTGAAAGCGGAACCTTCTGCTCTCTAATCGCTCTCACGGTACTTTGATTTCATACACCAATCGGTCTGCGCAGGAGCCACATGAAGTCAAACACACCTATTATGACTCTCTGTAAAGCTGCTTGGAAACGATTGTGTATTGTGAAGCACAGGATGTTAAAGACAGGATTTGTTGGTGAAATGAAAGTGGCGCGGACATCAATGGATATTCTGGATCGAGGTTTCAAAAGGCTATTTTTTTTTTTGAAACTTCAAGCATGCGTTAGTTCTGGTAGGTCACGTCAGTCAAGCTTGCATCAGCTCAATCTCAGCTTATCCACGGCTATAGAGTATGATGCTTATCACAGCATCTCTATATATAAGGTCCATTCAGTATTATCAGCAGCTTTATCGCATTGCTCAGGAGCTAATTACCCTCCTCCATCCCCAGCTCATCCTTTCTTCCAGTCAGGACTTGGCCTTCTGATATTCCTCTCCAAATCAGACTCTTTTTTTCTTGAATCATGTTGTACATAAATCACTGAACATTAATAATATTTGAAATACATTTATGTTGGTTCTGTTCTGATTACCCTAAGAGAGGATAATCACTGCTCTCCCTGCCATAACATACCGCCAATCCAAACTATACAAATTTTCATTGTCAGTCCATCCATCTGTCCGTCCGTCCGTCCGTCTATCTATACTTTGCAAGGAAAACTGGCTTAGTCTAACATTATCCAACAATTTCTCTTTGTAGAACTCATAATGGACTTGTTTTTAAATAGATGCTTATAAACATTAGTTATGTGAACAAACAAGTATATTCTATGAAAAATATTGTTTCAGTCAATATGCATTTTTAATAATGTTTATAGTTCAATATTTATGAATTTGAATATGCACTCTATTACAGTGTGCTTGCAGAGTCCGCCCTCACGTTCTTCTGATTGGTTGTGATTTTTTTTAATGATTTTGTTGTGTGGAGTCTGGTGTGGACCACAGTTGGGGACAGACAAATTGCTTGCCATCTTATCGCATATCTTCTGGTTAGGACAATGTAACTCCTGGGTCATTTTCATCAATAAATGAAAACTACAAAGATTTGTGCAATATTTGTTAAATAGTATTCTCTTTATTGCATTATATGACTGATCTAAACAAGATGTAGCTCCAATTTATGCACAG